TTATCGAATACTAGACCTAGTCTCTACTCGATAAGCACTCCGACTACCTCCTAGTCGCTATACTAGTTAAGTATACTATCCCGAGGGCGCCCTAGGTAGAGAAACGATACTACCGCAAGATAGACGAAGCGAAGTATATCGAAAGACTTAAGGAACTCTTACCGAGCCTATACTAGGTCCGATACTAGGGAGACCTTAACGATCTTACGGTATTAATCGCCTAAGCTATTAATTAGGCACTTGCCGAAACGACACTACTGCTTCGACTTAGCCCGAGGTCTCGACCTAGGTTTAGCGAAGAATATTAAGAGGTAATAGCTAACGCAAAGAGAGCTAAACAGCGATAGCTCGCCTCGGGAGCAGTAGAAGACCTAATAGCCTACTAGTAAGCTAAGCGGGCTAGGTATAAGGCGATCTTACTCTCGAATAGGATAGAATATAGAGAAAGGGTTTTATAAGTCCGAATAATAAAGGATCTTTAGGCACTTCGACGGTAGACGAAGAATAAGGACGTATAGACGCCTACCTTTATACTAACACTCGTAGACGGTTTAGGGAAGGAATATAAGTTAGCGGACGATAAGGCCGACCTGCTACAATCTGTCTTCTTCCTAGAACCCCCGCTAGCGGACGAAACTAATATCGATAACGCTAAATATAGACTACTAGTAGTTATACCGCCGATTATAGAGCATAAAGTAAAGGAGGCTATTCGAAGCACTAGCCTAGATAAAGTACTAGGCCTAGACGACATCCCGAATAGGGCAATAAGGACCGCAATAGACCTGCTAGCGCTAATACTCGCTATAACGTATAACTTAGCCCTCGACCTATAGTACTACCTAGCCTCCTTTAAGGAATTAATAACGGTAGTACTTCGAAAGCTAGGGAAATCTATATACCGCGAATCTAAATCGTACCGACTAATCGCGCTACTTAATACGATTAGTAAGATAATAGATATAGTCCTTACTAGGCGAATATCGTACGTAGTAGAATACTACGGCCTTCTACTAGATACCTACTACGGAGGGAGAAAAGCGAGTTCTACGGAGCACGCCCTCTACCTAGTAATAGAAACGATCTACGCTAGTTAGAATTAGAATAAGATCGTTAGCGCCCTCTTTCTCGACGTCTCTAGGGCCTTCGATAATATAAGCTATCGGCGGCTACTATACAACCTTTAAAAGCGGCGTCTACCGGTAGAGATAGTAGGGTAGCTCTGAAGCTACCTAGTCGATAGAAAAACGACCCTCCGGATAGCTAAAGGGAGCTCTAAGTAGTATAGCGTAGGAACGGGAATACCGCAAGGATCCCTACTATCTCCGATACTATACCTGTTCTATAATATAGACCTAGTCGACGTTAAAGGAGCGGACCTAAATACTAGGTATATCGACGACGTCTTAATAGTAGTCTCTAGACACTTAGCAGCCGGCAACTGCGAGAGACTAGTAGAGATTTATACGAAAGCTAAATAATAGGCGACGAAACACGCTTTAGTCTTTGCCCTAAAGAAGTACGAGATTATTTACTTCTACCTACCGGACTAGAGGCGATTAGCGGCCTTTAAGAGAATAGCAGAAGAAGAACAATACCCCCCCCTTTAGCTTACGCTAGTCTCGAGGGAGCAATATACTATCTAGGCAAGCCGATACACTAGATACCTCGGGGTATAGCTTAATAGCGAGCTTAGAGGTCTATAATACCTCGAGAAAACGCTAGGAGCGGCTACCGCTACGGTAGGAGCCCTAGGATTAATCGCCGGCTCGATATAAGGGATTATACTCGAGCAAATAAGGACGCTCTACTATATCGTCGTCTAGCCGAAGATACTATATACTATATTAGTCTAGTTCCTAGTAGCGCTAGCATATAGCGAGAAGACGGTTTAAGTAAAGATAATAGCGAAGATTAACTCTTTATAGAAAAGGGCACTCTACCTTATTACTAGAGTACTACGGACGATAGCGAGGGAGATTCTCGAAGTAGAAGCGGGAGTTAAGCTAATAATAACTATACTCGTAAGGAGGGTTAGCGACACGCTCGTTAGAATATACGCCTCTCTAATATAGTAAAAGATAAGGGAGGTATAGGACGAGATACCGATAAGGGTACGGTACGAGAGCCCTCTACGAAGACACTAAGATATAGCTAATATATAGCTCGGCCGATTTAGCTATAGAGTATCTAATATAGAACTAATACGACCGGTAATCGCAGCACTATAGTAGGAGCCCCTAGCAGTATATATTGCCGCCGACAAAGAAGCTACGGTTAAAGCATACGATAATATAGTTAAGAAAAGAGAGCTAGGACGGCTTATCTTCTATACCGATAGGAGCGCGATCGACGGCTACGTTAGTACGGCGGTAGCGCTCCCCTCCTATAAGTAGACCGCTAGCCGCTATATAGGACTGTTTACCGAAAGCAATATCTACGTCGCCGAGCTCTACGGGATAAGGATAGCGCTATAGAAAGCCCTCGAGCTTAGTAGCCGCCCTCGGAGTCTATAGAGCCCGGTATCGAAGATAGTCGTTTTCGGTAACTCTTAAGGAGTACTACTATCTTATAGGCGACCTCTAGGCTAGTCTAGCTAGTAGATACTCTAAGATATAGTATAGCTAGTCGAGAACCTTAATCGCCGGTTTATCCCTATTAAGCTGCGGTAGATAGTAGGACATCTAGGGGTACCTAGTAACGAATAGGTAGACCGACTTACTAAGTACGCTACCGGTTAGCGCCCGCTCGTCTTAGAAGGGCAGAAAGTTAGAGGCCTGTAGGCATAGCCTATTCGGGTACGGTATATACTCCGCTTAGTATACCGACGACACTTTAAGTTCTATATAAAGGAAAGATAGGCTATAGAATACCTTTATAGCGATACTAGAAGAAGGTATAAGGATATATACGAAACCGACGCCCTAGAGCACGCAAAACTGCTCCGGAAACTATACGGCACTAAGACAATGTCTAAGGGCGTCTTATCGTTAATCTGCTAGATAAGAACAGGCCGCATCGGCTTAAACGCCTACCTAAAAATAATCTAGGTTAGGGTAGATAACGCCTATCGTTTGTACGACGACAGCCTAGAGACACTTAAGTACGTCCTCTACGAATGCCTATTAATCTAGCTACTACGGAAGGAGATACTAGGGGAGGCGGTAATATGCTTATTTACAACTCTACTCTTCGAATTTCTTATAATACCGAAGCTAGCAATTTAGGCTGTATACTTTATATACCGTATAGGGCTCCTCGCGCAATTTACCGGGGCTAAGATATAGTTTATTATACCTCCCGAGGAGGAGGAATAGCTATAAAACATAGCATAGATTAATTACAAAGCCGCGGGCTAGGTAAGGTTAAAATATAGCAGAAACGATATAGAACTAGATAACTATACTACGAACCGCTCTCTTATTTATAACAACGATTAAGCCTTACGACCTCTATACTATCCCGAAAACACTATAGGAAATAATACGCCGAAAGACGTTTCCGCTACTAGATAGATCTCCGCTACTACTAAGAGTATATAGACCTCAACGCCGGGAAGCTAGTAATATTACATACAGATACTATACTAAAAAGTTCTTAACGGATTCTGTATTACGTCGAGAAGTGCTATAGAACGGGCATCGTTTTGCAGGGGTTAGTATAGTAAACATACGAGTTTATCTATATCGGGAGGCAGCTAGAAAGGCTTAGCGGACAGGATATAAAAGGAGGTAGCAAGCCTACCTTTCTTAAGATCCTATACCTTACCTAGCACTACCGAACGACCGAGCAGACACTATTAAGAGCGCCCGCTAATATGTCTATTCTACAATTAGCACTCCTCGAACTATAGCTACCGTAGTAGGCTAAGGGTACCCGTATCTAAGGGCGATACTTCCTAACCGCCTTTATCTTTAAGCTAGAATCTACCTATAAAGACATCTAGCGGACGTACCGTAGAGAGAGCGCCGAGTACCTTATAGTAACGTCGGTTCTCGAGAGGTTCCTCGCGCGTATCTAGGAAGAGGCGGAAAGGAGGTATAGAAAGGAAAGCATCTATATATACCTACGTAACCTTAGCTTTACTATAGGAAAGTAGAAGAGATAGTATAAAGGAGACGAAGACCCGTTAGAATCTAACTAGATAACGACATTTAGGGACTTTATAAAAGCAAAGATAAAGAGACCGAATAGTAGTATACTAATAGTAAGGATAGCCCTCTTTACGAGTGCTACTACAAACCTACTAGGTAGGTAGGAGGCGTACGATTAAGACGAATAGTATATATAGGCCTACGCGATAGTATAGCTACTAGGCAAGTAGGGCTGCTATTTAATAATCTACGACTATAACGCTAGTAACGGACCGATTAGACTAAAGCCGGTAGAGACCTTCCTATTATATATATAATAGGTATTCCTTAAGGCCCTAAAGGAGAAACGCAAAGTACGCGCTATCTACTTCGGAGATATATACGATAACGGCAAACTAGTATATAATATCTAGCGCAAGTCCGGGACTTTCTATATAAGCAAGTGTCTAACGGATACGCTGTTTTAGATATATAGGATAGCCTACGTAAAAGATACGCCCTAGGGAGACCTTAAGGATCTAAGATAGTTTAGCTTCTAGAAAATCGAGGGTATAGGCGGATATCTTCGAAAGACTAGGAAGTAATATAGATAATAGGCGAAAGGGTAGAGAGCGAGGGACTTAACGTTTATTTACTTATATAATCTTATTAGTTCTAGTTAGCTAGGCGTTACGGGCTAGTATAAAAGAGTAAAAAACAATAAAAACATAGTCTATATTTAGCGTTAGAATAGTATTCACTTTAGGAGCGGTAGAATTAGTACATAATCAGTCCGCAGATAGTCAGAGCCTAGTATAGCGTCCGTAGTGGACAGCTAGCGGCCTTAAGCCGCACTCGGAGTAGCCGAGGAACGGGCTAAAAATGGAATTAATAATAAAAAAGTTCGTACCTCACGCTGCCCTAGCAATGAGCATATGTCTAACCAGTCGCCTCCAGGCCATATCGGCAGACAGTACCACGTTCGCGGATTGTTCTGGGAGCTACATAGCAGAGGCAAGGCCTGACCAATGGAAAGAAGATGAGTATGTATTGCTCTGCTTTCCACGGGCGCGGAACGAACCTTTCCTTTGTGCCAGTCTCCGTCGGCTCGATTTGACATGCTTGATAACGCAGTGGCTGTGTAGCATGAGTGCCATACCACTCACTCATCAGTGCGTTGATGGAGCGATATTAGGACTGGAGGAACGCATTGTCAGACTCCTAGGATGGAGCGGCATTCTTTTCAGGAACGCGTACAACCACCACACCGCACCGCATGCATACGGATGCCCCACGAGCTTTCTCCTGACTTGGAAACATACTGGAGAAGGCGGACGGGCATTGAACGGCTGCGATTCGGCCTTCGAAAGATTGGAGTGGATCTGCTCTAGTTTGCGACGCCCTGGCCGGTGCTAGTCAAGCCAAGACGCGCGTCGCCAAACCAATGCTTAAAACAATTGAACGGCTTGGTGATGCTTGATGCTTCTTCTCCTTCTTGTAATACTTCACTCTCGTTCCATCCTTCGACGCCTTCACACTCGCTTTTCTGACGAATCAACACCAGCTTCTTCTCCCGCTTCCCACGATTCTACGCCCATTCAAATCCTGACTAGAGTATTTGAGAGCAATGAAGACCGCATCTTCGTTGGCGCTCGTTTTGGGCGCCGCATCTTTCGCAGCCGCCGGACCGGCTAAGATCGAAGCTCGCGCTACATCCAGCAGCAGTGCCAGTGCTTCAGGAACTGCTTCTACATCGCTGCCGACCGTCACCACCAAAGGCAATGCATTCTTCGCCGGCAGTGATCGCTTCTACATTCGAGGAATCGATTATCAACCTGGCGGCTCTTCTGATGCTACAGATCCTCTCGCCGACTACTCCACATGCTCTCGCGACATCCCATACTTCCAGAAGCTCGGCTTGAACACGATCCGTGTATACACCGTCGACAACAGCAAGAACCACGATGAGTGTATGAATGCTCTGGCCGAAGCCGGCATCTATCTGGCCCTCGATGTGAACACACCAAATTACTCGTTGAACCGCGATACTCCTGGCGAGTCCTACAATCCAACTTATCTGCAGTCCATCTTTGCCACCATTGATGCATTTGCGGGCTACACGAACACGCTACTGTTCTTCAGCGGCAACGAAGTGATCAACACCGACAACAGCACCACTGCTGCGCCTTATGTTAAGGCAGTCACTCGCGACATGAAGCAGTACATCGGCGAGAGAGGGTACAGAAGCATCCCTGTTGGCTACTCTGCCGCAGACGTCTCAGAGAACCAGTATCTCATGGCACAATACATGGACTGCGGCGAAACACCATCCCTCTCCGACTTCTACGCCATCAACAACTACGAATGGTGCGATCCATCTTCCTACACCACATCCGGATGGAGCAGCCTTGTCGACATGTACGACAACTACAGCCTTCCTCTCTTCATGTCCGAGTACGGTTGCATTACCAATACTCGAACTTTCGCCGAGACTGCTGAGCTGTACAAAGAGGAGATGACCAAGGTCTTCTCTGGTGGCCTGGTCTACGAGTACTCAGCTGAGGGTAACGGCTACGGAATCGTCACCATTTCCGGGAACGATGTCACCCCTGTCGGCAAGCAATTTTCGTACCTGCAGTCCGCGCTGGCGGAGGTGTCAGACCCTAGCAACGGAGGTGGATACTCGACCGATGGCAAAGTCCAAGACTGCCCGGAGCAGAGCGACAAGTGGGACACCAAGCCTTTCACAGGCTCCGCTCTCCCTGCAATGCCAACCGGTGCTGAGAAGTACATGAAGAACGGCGCTGGTGATGGCCCAGGTCTCAGCGGTGACGGATCACAAAACGCCGGTGGCGGTTCTTCGACGACTGCATCTGCCAATGCTGGTGCTGTCAGCACTACCTACGGTGGCGGCGCGTCGTCTACTAGTAGTGGTACTGCTTCCAGTGCTGCAAATGCTGTGCAATTGGCGCGCACTGACATTGCTCCATTTGTTGGGTGTCTCGCCATGTTCATCAGCATGATGTTCGGCGCAGCTCTGTTGTAAGAGAAGAGTGATGCGCATTCCAAACTCAAGAATGAGTCGAAAGATTGGTCCCACTGTACAGGATTGAATAGTCGGCAACGGCACCACCTCACGAAATCAGCTCGCGAGGCATGGAGCCCATAGAGCATTTTGAATGAACCTCGCGTATTTTCAACGAACAACCTTCATATCGTTCCAAATCAAGTTCCCAAACAAAATGCTCCTGATGCACCTTCATCTCGCCCCCGATCCCACAAGTGAAATCCTAATCAATCAATCAACCCCCTCCAACACCCCATCCTCCCAATCAACCTGAACGGAACCCACCCAACATGTTTCCAACCTAAGCATCCCTCCCAATTCGTCTCAGACTCTTAACTGCATCAAAAAATCGCAACACCCATCCGGCAAAAAATCATCAATCCCAAAATTTTCCTATTCCCATATTATCACCAAGCCGCGGATTTTCACTGTAGCCGTGAAAAAAAAAACCTTCGTAAGTGTGGAAGAATACCGATCTGTCGTGCTTCTGGATATGAGATTTTGTAGAAACCCGAAGAAGGGTTCGAGAGAATTGTTACGATTATGTCGAAGATTAGGGGAATTGAGAGGAGGAGGAGGAGGAGGAGGGGGAGTGATAGCATCGACATCGACATTCTGCCCGGCAACCGTTAGAACGAAATGCTCGGAGCAGCTGCAGCGAAGAGCGTGAGTAGTTCTCGGGGCGAGCTGACATTCAATGAGCATTTTTATAAAACATCTGCTGGGTCAGGAGGATGTCAGAAGCTGATTTTGTCCCATCCGGCAAGAATGCCACTTTATCTGATCATGTTTACGCGTGCTGTAAACTCAATGGCTGCTTCAGTTCAGAAGCATCCAAGTCTTGATTCATTCCGTGACTCGGATCCCTTCTTTGACCTCTTCTGTATGGTGCGTAAAGCCACATGCCAACAATATATCTTCATACCATTGTGCAAGATCGACAACGAAAATAGCGTGGCGTGGTTGTCATGCAATGCCCGGTTGCTGCGGGCGAGACTATTCGAGAATCCACTCCGGTTATTCGAGAATCTACGGACCTAGGGCCGCTCCGGTCTCGGTGAGACCACATTGTTAGTAATCCACACTGTAGAACATCGCATGGTGACTTCTGATGCCTATACTAGCTGCTTAGTAGAATTGAGTAAATAATAGACGTAGAATTCGACACTATAGCTAATCCTAACTGTTCTAGGTATACTGCCTACCTAGCAAATAAGGTTCTACGACCCTCGCATTAATATATAGCTCCTACTATACAATCTCAGTGTAATCTAGTATACCTACTAGCGCTGTAGGTACTAGTAGAGCCCTTAGAGCGGGCGGAGGTCCTTCCTAAGTAGATAAATAAGTATAAGTAGATATAGGGTTTCTATCGCACTACCTATACTTATAATAGCTAGAGTAGTAGTCTACGTTGTCTTTAACGCACTTGCACCTCCTATAGGCCGTTTTGTATGTATAGCCCTTGCGTAAACGTTCTCGTAGTGCTAGTAGCGGTAGAATAGGCCTCCCCGGCTCGGCCTATCTTATCGCTTCTTGCTAGTCTATAGCCTTAGCGGCTTGTTTAATAAGCTTAGGTCTAGTCGCAATACGTCGAGTCGTACGAGCTAGTCGGTTGTTAATCCGCTTTAGTAGCTCTAAGGTACGGTAAGTAGTTGTCTCGTTGCTATTGTAATTACTCCTTAGTACTCGCTAGTGCTTCTTAAACATACGAATAGTAAGAATACCGGTTACAGACTCCTTAAGTACTAGCATCTAGTATATACAATTTAAGCTATAGACCCTCCGATAATACTAGGTATAATCTAGCGGTAAATAGTCGCTAGTAGAAGACTTCTTCTTCTTAATCTCGACGTATATAAGTGCCCTTCTCTCGGCTACTTTACGTAGAGCGAAGGTACTAATATACCTAACAACTTATATATATAATAGGTCGTTTGCGAATACCGTTACTAGTCGTATAATCTCGAGTCCAATTATTACCCTATAGCGGTTAACTTAGTGCTAGAAATAGGGCACTATACGGTTAATAAAGCTATAGATATCGTTCCTATAGGTTGTTAACTAAGCCTTAATACTAGTATAGCAACCTTCGATAGGCGACGTCGTTGTATTGCTAAAATAGCGTATTCTATCGATCTAGTATTTAATATACTATTCTCGATAGATCTACTAGATATCCGCGACGTATTAAGCTAGTCTATGCTATGCCTCGTTGTCCGAGTAGTTACGAGCTAGTTCACTATTGCTAGCGGCAATCTTGCCCTCTTTAAGACGCCTACAGTTGCTAGTAAACGAGTTAATAGACTAAGAGCCGATAGCGGCGTTAAATAGGTCTATAAAGTCCTATACCGCTAGACTTAATAGCCTACGCTTTATCGATAGATTAGGTAGTCTAGTACTAAGAAAGGCCTTCGCATTAGCTTCTACTATGCGTCTAATATGCTAGCGGTAGAGCTAAGTACGTAGGTAAAGCTAGTCGCTTACTAGGGCCTTTATTAATGCCCTATTACGGTCGTAGATAATAAGGCGAGGCTCTTCTACGCTGTATTCCGATAGCAACTCCTACGTACAGCTAATAGCGATAGAATACTGTTTAGTAGCCTGTCTAGGTATAAATATTAGCGCTAAAGGGAAGATCTAGTTGAATTAGTTAAGTAAGGCGATTATAAGTAGCGGCATGCTATAATCGTTAGTCTTGTAGGTGCAATCTATAACTATAATATCCGGGCAATTCTTATATATATTAATTATCTTAGGGTGCGAGAAATACAGCTATTCTAACCGTTGCTTACCGCTTAGTCTAGTACCGACAGCCTTCCGTACGAAGTAGTTCTATTATAGGAGGTCCTTAATCGTCTTATCGACTACTAATTTGCTAGCGAGTCGCAACTTCTTAGCCTTTTGCTAGGCATTTGAGATGTCTCGTAAAGTAGCGGGTACGATAGGCGATTGCTAGTCTCTACTACTACTACTAAAACGGAGCTTAATAGCGGCCTTAATCTGTCGATTAGTAACGCCTATAGACCTCAACTATAATATAGCCTTAACAATCTCTATCGTACGAGCTCGGCGGCGGTAATTAGCTAGCGCTATTAGATAGACTACTAGATAGTTATAGTTAGAGCTATTAAATGTAAGAGACTAGGTACTATTGTCGGGGTCCTTCTAGTCGTCTGTAGTAAGGGCTATAGACTAAGGGCAATTACACTTCTTTAAGCGGCCTTTACGAGTCTTAGTAGTAGGATAAAGAAGCCTTCTCTCGTTACGCTTCTTCCTTACTATCTCGCGTAATACCGGTGTTAAATACTTAGCGCAGCGTAGTAAGAAGGTCTAGTAAGTATAGTCCTTATTGCGCTTATAGCTAGTCCTTCTAAGCTTAAACCCCTTCTCTAGTGCGAATGTGTCTATATAGTCCTCGGCTGCTATAATACTATTAAATACCTAGTTTTCGGGGTTCTCGATAGTTGCGTACGATCTAGGTTTATAAGCCTCTGCCTCTAACTCGGACTAGTTACTATATTCGTCGTTGTTGCTAAAGTTATAGGCTAGTTATTAAGGAGACTCGATTTCTACCGAAGGAGGGCGTTGTTCTTACTAACTAACCCTGCCTTCGCCGTTATTACTATCGCTACTACTACTACTACTAACTTTAACTTCTTCTTCTTCTTTACTATTCTATTTACTACCCTTACTGCTTAGTAGCCTCTACCTTTTACTAGGTATAGTATATAGTATAAAGCGGATCGCTTTGTACCCTACTTCGTACTATTCTAGCAAATCGTCGATAAAGGGGATAGTTAGGTTAAGGGTCTCGAAGGTACTATCTAGCTTACTAGCTAACTAGTTAGAGGGATTAAGACTATCGTGTCTAGCCTTATACTAATAACTAATATAGCGCTACTAGTACGACCGCTCGCTCTCCGCTATATCTTCCTAGAAGTCTAAGAGGAATTGCTTTAAATACTAACAGTCGACACCCTCCTAGTATTAGTAGGCTAGATAGTCCTTTAGTCTATATACCTATTTAACCTATAATTCAAGGCCTCCGAGGTTGCCTAGGTACGGCTCTCGCTCTTGCTATAGCCTCTTACTACGTATTCTTTATAACTAGAAGACCTTAGGATTATACTATTAAATAGGGGCGGCGGCGGCGGTAGTAGAGGCGGCGGAGGCGGCGGCATTATACTCGGCTTATAACTACGCGGAAGGGCTTAATAATATAGCGACGGTAGGGTTAAAATAGCGGCGACGGTAAGGTTAAAATAGCGGCGACGGTAAGGTTAAAACAGCGATTAAAACAGCGGTAACAGTAAGGTCTAGTGGTGGAGAACACGACTAATAAATTTGCCTTAGGCCTCCTCCGCGATCGGACGCGCGGATTCCTATATAGCCGGAGTGGATTCTCGAATAGTCGCGCCCGGTTGCTGCCGTTGCTTCCTTCCGTTGCCGAAGAGGGCTGGATCGCAAGGAAGCTTCGTCCAGCTCTCAAAGGCTTTATTCCATCGCATCTGCATGCAATAATTTGTGCCATTGACGCTCGCCAACATGCCAATCGTACGTCCGAATGCTCTGCGGAGCCTTCAGTCGTCTTTGCGACACTCTGGTGCACGCGCAACTGTACGGGCCGCCCCAGCGCGGACACAGCTGGTCGCAAAGCGCTTCGCCAGCAGCGGCGGCCATGGAGGCCATAGTGAGCCCAGTTCAGACCTGCCATGGTGAGTTTACTTGCACGCCGACGGATGCACCGTGATAATGGCCTGGTCCGGTCGACAAACATTCAGAACATCTCCATTGACATCATGCCAAAGGCTGCTGGCAGCTTTAGCCATCACTCCTCCATCATGCTGGTACCTTTGGCCGGAGAAGAAGAAAGGTCATGGTCATGGCCATGGAGATCACGGCGACCATGCGGAACATGGCGAGGAGAAGGATGAATCTTCAGAAAAGCCATCCGGAGAAGAGGAGCAAGCCTCTGGCAACGAGCAGGAGTCAGCAGAGGAGGCTGACGAGAAGAAGGAGGACAAGCCTGAGGCGAAGAGCGAGAAGTCTGATAACAAGGCTGACCAAAAGAAGGAAGAGAAGTCCGATGACAAGGAGAAGAAATCCGACGACAAAGCGGAGAAGAGCGCAGAGAAGAAGGATAGCAATAAGTCGAACGAAGGCAATGATGCTGACGGTGCCGACGATCAGCCTCCCGAGGCTGTAGGCTCAGGTGAGTGACGAGCATTTCTGTGCTCTCTAAGGAGTCTGCGCATGACCGAGCGGATGCTAAACAAAAGCGCACAGGATCAAAGACCACCAAGACTGGACAAAAGCTAGGCGAGACTGGCTCGGATGTACGTATCAGACGGAATCATGGATCGAAGATCGAGGCTAACATGCGTATTGCAGAAGGGAAGTGCTGGACCAAAGGACGGAGGCCAGGGAAGCATGGCGAAGAAGCAAGAAGGCATGTCCAATACCGATACCAAGCACTCTATACCAATCGATTCAAGCAGCGAGAAGTCGACTAAGGTCGATGGCTCGCCAGAGACGGCAAAGGCAAAAGGCACTGTGGACACTAGCAAAGGCACTAAGTAAGCAACACCCAGACGTGTGGTCCTAAAAGAAAATAGAATCGCGTCAGGTGCATTGGGTTGCTGCAGCAGAAAGCGCTTGATCGGAGTGTGTAAATATGTATACCTAGGAAAAGCGTGCTGGGTGTATGCTTGAAGCAATGCTCGTTGTTTGTCTCGTTGAAGTGGAGCTGTCTTGGCGGGGCGCATGCAAGGATGAACACGTTTGTCCTCTGCCTGCTTCCAACTTCCAAGCTGTCTTGCGATCACAAGGCACTGCACTTGCAGGCAAAGAACGGCTTCCAGGGCAGCTCGTCCACTTATTTGAGGATATTGAGCATAGTGCTGCTGGACGCGCCAAGCGCCAAAGTGACCAGTGCGGGCACAGGCCCAAACGGAGCTATTGAGTCTTGACTTGAACTTTGCCTCCGACAGCTTCACCACCAACATGGCAGAAGAAGAGAGCCCGTTGCTAAGCGCGCTACCACCGGCGACAGACTACTGGACATACTTGACGATTATCGAATATAACCTCAAACCTGAAAACTTGCCGACACTGCACAAGGTGCTGCAAGATGAAACCTTGACGACGAATATTGGCTGGGATCTGGTCCATCTACTGGTGCCACATCTCCCAGATTCCGAGCAGTGCCTGCGAGATATCGCGCGACTGGGTAACCCACGAGAAGTGATTCTAAAGGCGACAGAAAGCTTGCGACTGATTGAGTATGATCAAGTCGAAGATGAAGAGAACGAAGATGAAGACTCGACTGCAGAAGCCAGCGATGCTCGTGAGAGAGCCGACTCTAATACTTATCCGTTGAAGACTGCACCGCCGGACGATGGTTCGGCTCCAAAGCAAGCTGTCGAAGTTCCAGGGCCATTGCCACTTCCAGTCCAGCAGTTCGTGGCGCTTCTGTCGATGCTCGCAATACTGCAAACTCGCATCAAGACCAAGTTCCCGAGCAGATTTCTCAGCACGACTCTCCAAGCAATCCTGGCAAGTTTCTCGAATTCCCATGAGTATCGCGAGGAAATGATTCAGGCAATTGTCAAGACAGTCAAAGCTGTCTCTGGCATCGCGCGGCCAACGCTGCCAGCCAGGAAGAGCAGTGGCATGCAGAGCTCGAACGCGATGGCGAAGGCTCAGAATGCTGCAGATCCTGAAGGCCCGGCAGTCGTCGAGTCGACCGCCGAAGAGTCTGCGATGCAGAGAAAGCTCCTTCAAGCTTTCATCACACACGTCATTGAGGAATATATGCTCAATCTTCCGTCACATGATAATGTTCCCGGCATGGCGTGGTGCAGTCGCATCATGGAGCAGCTGCATCCTGAGCGTACTGTGCCCGAAACCAAGACATTTGCGAGTCGATTTGGAGATGAAAAGACCTTGCACAGAAGAATAGATGCTATCGGTCAGTTGGTCACTTTGGCCCAGGACTTGAGGTTATCAAATGAAGAACTGCAAGAAGCTGCGATTACTGTGGAGAAGGTCTCTTCTCAAGGCCAAGGCGAGGATGAGCCTCCGGCTTCCGCTGACGATATTCCGCTCTCGAGGCTTGGGTCGCTGCTGTTGTACACTGCGAGGCACGTGTCTTCTGTACTTTACCACAGACCACTTGACGCCGTCCCGCCGTTTCAGCTCTTCCCAGATCATCAGGAGCTGATGAAGCACTGCCTGGCATCTCATGGCATGGGAAACGGTCAGCTTGGAACGGAACCAGAAGCTCTCATCGATGCCATTCTGGCACTCGGCTTGTTGTCATTGGAGCAAGACAACATCGGCGATCCTGCTACTGACGAGCAGTTCAATGAATATCTTCAGACAGTCGCCCTGCTATCGTCCAACTGCCCGAATGCTAATCTCAGAGGCCATGCGCATTATCTCACAAGTACCGTGCTCAGATCACAGCCTGATGAGGAAGTTCGCTTGGCTTTTGTGCGCGACACCTTAGAGCATTGTCCATTCGAGAATCTCAAAGTCTCCGCTGTCGGCTGGATCAAGGGTGAGACTATCGAGGCAAACCCACCGAATCATGAGCGCCACCACGAGCAGGCACCGAATGGATCTGGCAATTCTCTCTTTGCCAAATCACACGCACTCGAGAGCCTGGCACCTTTCCTATTCCCAGAATTGCTTGCCGATCTTGTCGTTGCTCCGATTCAGGACGCGTGGACGACATTCCAGATGAACATCTCATTCTACTTGGCGAGCTTGAACTTTCTCTACTTGCTACTGTGCGCGAAGCACTTGCACCAGAAGCTCGAAATCCCCGAGCTTTGGAACAACAACGACATGGCTGGCAGCTTCATCCAGCCGCTTCGTGATGCCCAGGCACGTTTCTTGAAGGCGATGGAAGACGGAGGAGCATTGGCTTCAGAGAAAAGCGATGCTGTTCTAGCTGAAGCTAAGCTGTTGGAGGAGACCATCGGGAGAGTGACGAGCGCTGTGCCGTTGCTTAATGAAACGTGATCGGGGATGACTAAGTAAGCAGCAGCACAGCAGTCAACAAGAGAATTTGGAAGTCAAGTCAGCACCAGAGGTGTCACGCCATGACATTGGAAATCAGGGCCGATGTCTGTAGTCACTCATGCAAACGCGGCACCACACTCAGGCCTTTTGGCAAGCTCATGTTATGCTGTTTCATTGCTCATTACTGTCGTGCGGCCGTTACGTGCGGCTTCAGTGTCCACGATGCTCTGCTCCAATCTCTTTCTCTCGTCCCTTTCAATCCGTCCTCTGAATACTCCAATCGACAGACTTCCGAACGCTACTTGAAGCGCCTGATAAATCACAATTGGAATCGGTATCTTACTTCCGAGCTCCAAGCTGATACCAGCAAAGATCGTGGCCGAGGGGGGCGCATGGACGACCTGACCTTGATGGTGGCTGTGGCTGGGATGTCTTCACCTCACCCTCGCTCGCTCGCTGTTCGTCGTCGTCTTTTTTTCAACGCCATCAGGCATCACATTGCTGATATTCTATCAACCGCATCTTTCTTCTCCGATGTCTCCGCTTCGTGGCTCTTCACGAATGCACCCAGCTCTTTGCCGGACCCACGACTCTCGCTCGATGTATCACCGACCTCTTCTTGGCGCGTCCGTCTCCACATGCCATATCGCCACCGCAATGCCATTCAAGAGAAGGCAATGCAAGCGCATGCATTTTGGCATTTCCCTCACCACGAGAATACATTCAACAACCGACTCAGCACCCGTATCAACCACCTCGTAGCCAAAGCCACATTGGGTGTGATCCGTGGCCAGGTAGATCTATTGAGCCTGTCCCCGCCATTGCCCCGCGTCAACCGTCATCATCCTGTCTGCTAAGTATCAGCATTTTCTTTCCGTCATCTGCTTCGGGTCGAAGGTAGGAGGAGACGTCAGTCGGCTCGTCTGTCGGAAGCATACATACGCCCTGATTGGAAGCCGCTGGAGGCCCATCGTCCCCATTCTGCACGCCATCCGAGCTGGAGAGGTAGGCCTAGGCTAACAAAAACATCCAAGCTTTGAGCAGCTCGTGGTGTGATTTGCTTTCCCTCATCTGCTCGACTCTTTCCTGCGCTTTTACCGTCATTGCCCGTCTTCTTTTCGAGCATATGAGCACCGGCAGAGCTTCCACGAACATCCCATCTTCTTTACGAAACATTTGGCAAGAGCAGGAAGAACACGGTAGAGCTTATCCAGCTCCTGGCAAGCAAGACACAATGACGACCAAAGCAATTGTGTCTCACGACACTCTCCAGAATGGAGGCTGGAAGATGGAAGAGGTCAGTCTGAGGGAGCTCGAGGAAGGCGAGCTTCTGGTTGAGATGGTCGCTACGGGTGTCTGCCATACAGATGCTCTGATTGGAGGTATTCCCGGTGGAGCGGCCCCAATTGCTTTCTATCCAAGAGTCTTGGGACACGAGGGTAAGTACAATTCACTCCCCCTTCGAAAGTCCTGCTCATTGACGATATCATGAGGCTCTGGCTACGTCCGCAAAGCCGGCAAAGGCGTCACAGTAGCCCAAGAAGGCGACCCAGTCCTCCTCTCCTTCGCCTTCTGCCAAAAATGCGAAATCTGCAAAGCAGGCCACTACTCCAACTGCAATGAATTCAACGAGCGCAATTTCGGCCCCTTCCCGGCCTTCCACCTCGCCTCCAGATCCGGTGAACCAGAAGTGCACGGCTGTTTCTTCGGACAATCCTCTTTCGCCGGCATGTCCATCGTAAAAGAATGCTCTGTCGTGAACGTCAAAGACATAGTCAAAACCAAGCAGGAACTCCAACTATACTCTCCTCTGGGCTGCGGGATTCAGACCGGCAGCGGTACAGTCATCAACGTCTCCGGCGCTGGCCCCAAAGACGCCATCTGCATCATGGGTCTTGGTGGAGTCGGACTTTCCGCCGTCATGGGCGCCAAGATCCAAGGCTGCAGAACAATCATCGGTATCGACAAAGTCGAATCCCGACTGAAACTCGCCAAAGAGCTCGGTTGCACGCACGTCATCGATGGCAGTAAACTCGCCGAAGGCAAAACTCTAGGAGACACGGTCAAAGAAATCGCTGACGGAGTCGGCCCTACCATCACCATCGACACGACCGGTGCCCCAGTCCTGATGGACGCTGGTATGAAATTCACACGCAACCATGGCAAGTACATTCAAGTCGGCAGCCCACCTTTCGATTACACTCTCAACAGCGTGAGCGGGTTCGAATTCATGGTCGCAGGAAAGCAATGGATTGGTGCGATTGAAGGCGGTGCTTATCCACCGGAATACGTGCCCAAGATGATTCAATGGCATCGCGAGGGAAAGTTTCCCGTCGATAAACTTATGAAGTTGATGCCGGCCGAGGATTTTCAGAAGGCTTTGCATGAAATGCATACGGGTGAGACGATTAAGCCGATTTTGACTTGGTCGTGAGAGTGTGAAGAAAGAGGTGTGTGTATGTAGCTGTTAAACGAGTTCCTCGAGAAGATCTATGCCTGCCGTGCAGCGAAGCCGGGGTACGTACCCATTGTACAGCCGATCCTTGTATCATCCTCCCACCGCATCGTCCGAGTACCAGACGTTAGAGATGGGTGATCGAGGCTTCCGGCTCGATCATAATGTTTTCGAACTAAGATAGTTGCCTAAGAAAAACAAAATGGTTTGCATTCTCTCCTCCGATTATCCTAGAATACGCAATTAGATTATCAAAGCGTATACAAACGAGGAAGTAGTCAAGAGAACAGCTGCGAGCCTGCGACTAGATACAAAAGTAGTCGCCTCAGGCAACGACAGCGAGTCTATATAGACGCTTCGCTCGAACTTGGCTCCTAGCTACCCGGGGACAAAACCCGAGAGAAGCGAGAGCACGCCAGACGTCGCGCTTGGAAGGATTTAAGGAGGACCAACATCCCCAGTCGTAAGCACCGTCGTGGTAGGCAAAGCCCCTTCCTCAGGCACATGGCAATCCGTGCCCCAAGGCGTCGGCGTAACAGTCGCAACCACCTCCCCGCCCTCTTCAGAAGTCACTTGCACCGCACACGTAGGCCTAGGATCATAATTCGGGGCCTCGTTCGTCGTGATTCCAAACCACATGCAATTGGAGAAGTAGCCCATCTGCGGATGATATCTGTCGGTGCCTAGATCTCCGATGTTGTTTTTGAGGACCGCGGGACAGCCGTGTGTCCAGAGCCATTGGAAATGTGCGTAGCAGTCGATGCCGTCTTTTCCGCCGAGGTGGACTTCGCCGGACGGGTTGGAGGCCGGACAGGCTTGTTTTTCGTAGTGGATGTAGAGGCCTACGTCGTTGTAGAAGGGGTTGGAACTTTTGTTCGCGACGAATTGTTTGTAGAGCCAGAAGGGGTTTTCGGGGTTGGCGGTTTCCGGGTTGTCGTAGAGGTATGTGCAGAATTCGTTGGCGGCGGATTGGAGCAGGGGTTGTTTCCAGATCGTCCATTCTGCGGTCGTGTCGTCGCCTCCTGCTGCGTGGCAAAATGCTCGACCTGTTGGGACGGCCGTGGTTGGAGGTACGTAGCCTTCTGTCTTGGGAGGGACAACTGCCGGTGGTGGTGTGATGCTGGGACTCGGTTGGATCCAGGACAATGATGAGTCGGGAACTGCTGTGTACGGACAAAGCTCTGTGACGGTCGCTGTGGAAGTCTTTGGAGATGTGTAGGTATATGGATATGGGTAAGGAGTAGTCGAATATCGATTGCCATCGGGGCAGTTGCACCAATGCTCTTTTCCGCCGTCTCATTGACCGTGATGGCAGACTAGCTCATTGCTGGGGCTTGGTGCTCCGGTGATGATTGGCGGCATGAGAGGGGACTGTCCATCTTGGCCCTGATCTTCATTCGGATCCAGGTTGCAGGCATCGGAAGCGGTGCACATGGCGCATTGATCTGTCGTCGACGAGCTGGACTCAGAGCTGGTTGCTGTGGGCTCAACGGAAGTCTGCGGCAGAGGTTTTGAAGTCTCGTACTTGACTGAATGCAGTGCCTTTACAACTTCCTCATTGGTCACCTCGATAGCCACGTAGATCGCGGTACTAGCGCTGGCTACAAGAATGGCATTAGCGATTTTGAGGCGGACAAGATAGGTCAGGGCAGCTTGCTGCGAGAGAACTGGCATCGCAACCACAGCTTCTTCTGCTTCGAGTTCGGCCAAGTCCAGTGCATCGGGCACATCTTCCAGCATGGCCGATGGATCAGCTCGTGCAGCAGAGGCAAGTTGTTCTTCGAAGTGTTCCATATCGGCGATACCGACTTCCTCATTCTCAAACAGATCAGTCAACCGCTCTCTGAATGTAACCTTCCTCTGAGCATCAAACGCGTTGAAATTACAGGCCAAGGGCATCGTGGGTCCTCCAATTCCACCAAATTCTCTCCGGAACATTTTCCGTTGCTTTGCAGCCGCACAAATTTCGGCCGAGATGTCGTAGATTTCGCTCATGAGATCTTCAGAGAGAGTGAAGAGCCATGCAGCGCCAGCAGCAGCAGGCGGTGCCAAACCAATTCGAGCAGTGCCGGTGACTGTGGCCACTATGCTCGTTGTGCCTTGTACCGTGGTAGCGTCCATCATGGTGATAGGCTGGGGGTTGTACGGTGAAACATCTTCTTCCAAAGTATGAGCACCTTCGACGCAGACCGTCACAATACCGCCCTCCCATTTGCAGGTGTGCGGAACAATGTGCTGCCGTTTGTCGTGGCCGACCGAGCCAACCTCATCCCATTTCTCTTTCGGCGGATTTGTGACAATCCCGCGTTTGCCATTGGGCAGTGTTGAACATACAAGGCTAGCCTTGTCGGTTGAGAAAGTCGAGCTTTTGACACAATCTATAGCCTTGACAACAAAGCCTGGGTCCGGCGCAGGTGTGACCATTGCCACGGCTGAGACTGGAGTTGTCTTAGGCGCTGCATAGACTGGAAGACCGCAAGCTGCGAGCAGCAGCCCAACTTCTTTGAGTCGAACCATATCGCGAAAGCAACAATGAGACCGGCGCAATGGTCACTGTCGTAGGCTCTCCTTGGTGCTTCCCGTCTACGTGAAAGCTGTTGTTGATATGCGAGTGGTGTTTGTTCAAGATGCGTTGTGTTTCTCGCAATGTTTTGTTATAATGGATAAGATATGGATCGAAACAAGTCACTGGTGCATAAGCACCTCACTCACAAGTCAAGGGGTCCAATACTGAGCCCGTGTCGGTGTGGTCAGCAGACTTCTTACAAGTGTTCTGCATGTGACAAAGCAGAGACCATTTAGCACAAGCACAAGCTGTTCACGGCCAACAGGCCACCACCAGTCGCGGTTAGAATCGGCCTCAACTGTCATGGCAGTGAGCACATGCGGGAACGAATAGACGTACCGCCTTGTTCGATTGGCGCTGTGGTGATATCGCAGACTTGTAAGCGTGATTCTGGACGTTCAAGAGTTGGCAGACATACCTAGACATTACTGAGCAAGCCATGCAATGCCCTCTAACATGTAACTCTTCCTGTATAATTACGAAGGTTGCTACAATCACGCAAGACATTGACAGCACGAGAGATGTAGAGCAGAATTGATATCTACTTACGCATGTCTCTGTGATTTCGTGGTAGTATCTGTCGACTACTTAGTGAGGACGATGAAATGCCCTTGTGCGGCCTTCTGCATTTGATCGCACCGAAGAATGCGGTGAGAAGGACTGAGCGGATGGCACCGAAGAACGTGGTGGGAAGGACTGAGCGGCATGGGCTTGTCCAATCTTGCTGTCTTCATGACTCCGACGTGATGAGCTCCGGGGCGCTGCCCTCTAGCCTGCTGTTCCGCGAAGCTCGTCCTCGGCAATCCTCAAGAAGGTATTAAAGTCCTTCTGCAGGTATGCGTAATAGTCCTTCCAAGCTCGGGAGGATTCCACCTCACTAGTTAAGTTCGGCGACTTGTTAAGAGCCACAGACACCTTGACCACAGCCTTCTGCTGCTCCGCGATCTTCTCGAGTTCTTGCTTCACGGCATTGTCTTTGGGCTTGAATCCCAAGACGGTGCGGAATTGTTGGATAAGCTGTTCCAGGCGACGAGCAGTCTCAAACTGAGCGATTGGAATGAGTTTGATAAGCACAAGCGCGCACAGGATCTTGATCTCATGCTCATCGGCGATACCGGCTACGATGCGATCATAGTAAGCTGGAATGTCAAGGCGTTGACGACTGGCTGGCGAGTCAAGCAACGCGTAGAGAGTCTCATACGCCGACTTCCGGATCTCCAGGCCGTCATCGATCTTGTGCTTGAATGGACCCATAGAAACCTCTCTGATAAGCTCAGGCCGAATGACGGTTGCCTGCATGGCGAATGGCAGCAGCTCGCCAAGGTGTGGAAGGACAAGATCTGGCTTGTTGTACAGTGCGCCATTGAAAGTGGTCAGTGACAGACGCTGGTTGTCGAGATCGGTATCGGTAAGCATAGTGGAAAGCAATGGAATGATGACTGCTTGCAGATGCGTGTTGTAAGAATCGTCCGTGTCGGAGAAGACGTGTCGAAGAGCTGAGATGACCATACCGCGGATTGTTGCGTTTGGATTCTGGAGGAAGGTCTGCAGCTGTGGAAGGTAAGCCGCCGGATCGATGATAGCGAGACGTCCAATACATTCCGCGCCAACGACCTTGTTGTCCTCAGCCTGGCCAGATGCAATAACGTTCTCCCACAGCTGTTTAGTATAGGGTCGTATCTCGTCTTCGGCGGTGCTGTGCTGAAGTAGTTCCTTGACTGAATGCAGTAGCAAATACTGCTGACCTTGAGCCATCCAAGTTAGGATCTTGGATAGATAATCCTTGACATTGCCGGCGCCAGCACGCCCCAATGCCACAGCAGCAGACAGCTTAACCTTCTCTGATGAGTCGGAGAAGTATCGTACAATGTCTTCTGCTTTGAGCTGGAAGGTTGCACCAGTGCGGAGGCCGGCCTCACCAAGTACTGACAGGGCAAGGCAACGCTTCGACTCGTCGGACGAACTTTCTGCCTCCTTGACAAAAGCCTCAAGACCAACTCCAATCTTGGTACCGCCAGAGACAAGAAGTGTCCCAATGACTTGACCAGTGACATCTGTATCGCCAACAGGTGATATGGACAGCAAAGCCGACATGAGCTCCTGACCGGCACCAGCTTGGCCGATGGCTTCAACGCAGGTTAGGAGAGCCTCAAGTGCAGCTCCAGAAAGTGATGAGCGGACCACAGTGCAGATTCCTTCAATGACTTGGAGGTCGGCCGCAACAGTTGGTTGATCCTTTGCAAGAGCAGCAAGCACGATGAGGGCAGGACCAATCATGTGCAGGTCATCGGACTTGAGCAGAGGCACGAGGAGCGCAACAAGCTGCGAGATAGTGTTTGCATCCAGGGCATCGCGAGAAACCTGGTTGACAGCGAGCATACGGAGAGCACTCAAGCTGGCACCACGAAGCGATCGGCTGGACTTCCGAAGCTGAGCGCCGAGTTCGAGAGCGACCTCATTGACCCAACCAGGCTTGAAGTCATCTCCGCTTTGCGCCAAGACTGCGATGATATCGACGGCTCGAACACAAGCTAGGCGTGTAAGCTCATTCTTCATGCGGTCAGCAAGAAGTTGTTGACCAGCGTAGCGGTCTTGCGGCGAAAGGAGTCCCTTGGCAGCCGAACCACTGGTCCGGCCAATCAGAAGCCCCAAAGCCTGGACAGCCTTTTGACGAACTTCCGTATCAGTCTCTGAAGCAGAGATACGGTCGGTGATGGTGGTGTAGAGCTGCTTAAGCACATCACCAGTCTTGGCGCCGGTAGAGCGCGGTGGTGTGAGAGCCTTGACGTAGACCTCGATGGTGGACAAAGCCTCGCCCGAAACCTTAGCATACCGGTCTTTTGCGGTCTTGACAATTGCCGGTACAACCTTGGCAAGATGAGGCTGAATGACCTTACTCGAGTGCGACTCTGCTATAGCGCGCAGGAGAGCGAGGGCTTCTATCCTCAAAGCATTACCAGCCACATTTGACACCGATCCGGCACCGGTGCTCATTGTCTCGATCACGGGATCGAACACCAGATCTGCGCTGTCGGACAGACCTCCCTGCTGGGACAGCACCATGTCCTTCAGTAAGGAAATGACTGCTTGCTTCGTCGGAATCGTACTGGATTTCAGCAGCTTGGAAGCGCCTTTGACGATCTCTGGGTTGACCTTAGTCAGGCCGTTCGTGGCGCTGTTCGATGGCGGTGGAGTCGACGGCGAGGCATATCCATTCATCAGTGCTTGTTGAGCCTCAAGGTCAGAACCCAAAGATTCGCTAAACCCACGTCTGCGCTTTCGACTTGGTGGCACCATAGCGTTGTCGGTCTTCTGAACCTTGGTGCTTGATCCAGTCTTGACGATCAAGAATGCAAGTGTTGCAATGATTTCAGTTCGCACGCTCTCTTCCCGCTCCTTGAAGCGATTGATCAGGGCAGGAGCAATCTGTCCGTACATGGCTGCGTCGTTTGCGTCAAGCACGTTGATGAGCGCACGCAGCACTTTTGCAGAGCATCGCCGCACCTTCCAGCTGACGTCGTCCTCATCTTCGAATCCCGCCTCTTCCTCAAAATCTTCCTCAACCGCAAACTCGTCCTCTTCCTCTTCCTCCTCCTCCATATCTTCATCGTCGTCATCTGCCACGTTAGGCTCGTATTTCAAGAACCGCGTAGATGCCTCGATGACATCCTTCGTGTATGAACGCATGTCGGCGGCGCACGATTCGAGGAAGTTCTCGATCGCAATGAGTGCAGCTTCACGCACATCCTCCATCTGTACGTCGCGCTCCCCATCAGCTTCGGCCTCTGCTTCTCTCTGCTGATCTAGCTCTTGCTGACTTAGAGGTGCCAAGACAAATGGTGCAAGTGTCTTCAGGTATGGGCCGAACTTGTGCGGTATGCTACGGGCCAAGCTTCCATAGACTGTGATGAGTAGCTTTCGCTGCTGATTTGTGAGATGCGGTTGTCTCAGCTGCTGAATGGAGTATGAAACGTGGTTAGCGAGAAGGCCATCGTTGAAGTAAGGTGCCAGAGCTGCGAGAGCTGCGACAGCCTTCTTCTTCATGACTGTGCCACATCGCTCGCTTTCGAGGATCTGCATGGTGATTTGTTGTAGCGCTTCGATCTCCGCGTCTTGCAGAATGGGACCGAAGCAGCGAGCCACATCGGTGAGCAGATCAAGGGTCTCGGAGTCATTGCCCGTCTCGAGATCAACCTGCAGCATACCCTTGGGGGGCGGCGGACCTGGCCTCGTAAGAGGAATGACCACGCGGCCGACGAGTCGGGGAATCAAGGCCTTGCTAATAGCATTGTAGGCGTCATCCACCTTCTGCGATCGTGCCAGACCTGGTACTGGATGTGGCAGAGCAACAACGATGGCTCTCACGGCCAGAGCAGCAATTGAGTTGTCAATGCTGTTGTCGGTCTTGATACTGCTGACCTTCTCAATAGTCGGGCAGAGGATGCTCTCTGGTGCCTTGTTGACGAAGGGTCCCAGGCACTTGATGGCGTTGGTCTGCACATCGCCGTTGGTATCGTTGAGGGTGTGGAGGAGGCCTTCGACGACCTTGGCGCAGGTGTTGTAGTCGTGCTGGATGAAGGTGGCATGGCCATTATGCAGCATCTGAGCCAAGTCATTCAGCGACATGAAGCGGATATCGCTGTCGGCATCGTTGAGCTTCGGCAGCAGCGACGCCACGTTGTGTGACGTCGGGTTGGCTGGGACAGACGACGATGCCATCGTGGAAACGCCAGCAAGGCGTGCAACAAAATGTGGTGGTGTAGGCACAAACGAAAGGAACGGAACGAGGGAAGCCCACAAGAAGAAGTTGAAGATCGAACCGTGCCCCGCGACGTGTGCCTGAGCCGATCCCTGCAAATTCTAAAGTGACGAACGCGAACGCTGGTCCAAGCGCTAGAAGTTGCAAGTTGGAAACGTAAGTGAATGCTTCCTTCTTCGCCCCAAAGCTGCCCATAGCAACGGTCGCACACTCGTCGCGCCGTAGCTTCGCTCAGGTGAATGAGATGAAGCTTCCTTCCCAGTGCAGCTAGCCCTGCTCTTTGTATCCGGCATAGCACATAAGAGCCTCGCTTTCCCCCCCTCGACATTCGAGCACAGCACATTCTAGTCCACGCACCAAGATGGCGCGCGCAAAGAGGCAGAAGACCGAGCTCGCCGCTTTCGCCGCCTCGCAGCCATTGTTCGAGGCTGTCAGAAGTGCACGCGACGATGCACTGCAATCGCAAGCAGTCAATCTCACCATCGCCCATGATGTCGTCAAGAACATTCATGTCGGCGTGCAGAACAACGACGAGCACAACCACATTGAACGGCATGTTGCCTACATGGATGCCATTGTGGAGTCATGGAGGAGCGCGACCGACGCTTACTGCAATATCTTTGCCCAATTGACCTCCATTACTGCCGATAAACCAAACGAAGGAATTGGCGCGGCAGAGTCGCATAGTTTCTTCCAGGAAATGCTAGAAACGGCTCGGAAGGCACAGGAGGCGGCGAAAAGGTTTACCTCGGCGAAAGAGCGCGCTGTCCCGGAAACGAATACTACAATTGGTGGCAATACGGCAGAGACTGTCCCTGCTGTAGAGTCAGATGATGAGATTGAGTTGAAGCATAAGCCTCTGAATGGTGGGCCAAGCACATCAGAGTCCTCGAATAAATCTACATCCACTGCTACTCCTGGTAAGCAGCTCGCACGATCGGACAGGATCAAGCTAGACAAGTCAGGGACGAGAGTGCTATGGGAGAAGGGCGCTAAGGAACCGAGTGTGCCTTTCGCGATGCTAGGAGGAGATGAAAAGAAGGAGTGGGCCGCCGAGAAGTCTCGCCAGAAGCGCGAAAAGCAGAAGGGCAGGGCCCACGAAATCCGGACGAAGAAGGGGCAACGGGAGCGACAGCAGGAGCAGGAGCAGGAGCAGAAGTCCGCGCCGCCATCCGAATACCACAGCCCGCAGTTAGCGGATGTCGAGTACGAGGATCTATCGGCTGAAGTTGATGCTCGTCTCAAGGCCAAGGAAGAAGCCGAGAAGGCAAAGAAGCAGGAAAAGAAGCGCAAGCGGGAGAGTCATGACAGCTTCGTTGATCCGAACGCCTTTCAAGAAGACGAAGAGGAGGAGGATACGATTGAGGTGAGGCACCCTGAGAAGCCGAGAAAGAAGAAATTCAAGCACAGTAGCGACGAAACCGCCTCCAACCCATCGGCGCCGCAAATTCCCACGGCCGACAGCGATACTATACATGTCGGCAAGAAGGAGAAGCGGAAATCGAGCGCTGAGAAGGAGGTCGTGGTCAACAGCAAGAAGCGTAAGAGGAACAAGGGTTAGAAGAACTTGCAACTTCAAACCTTCAAGCGTAAGAAGGGTGCCCTGAAGCGCGGTCGCTGACAAGTTGCTGGCGATAAAAAACCGCCATCCTCAAATGGGCCGATGCTCCAGCTGGCATGCCGTGTAGACGGAAGTGGATGCCTTGAAGTTGGCATGGCAATGACGGACATGCCGACCTATTCTATAGGACGAGTCGATACTTATAGTAAATAAGCGTAAAAATTGCCGCTCCCCGGTTGTTTGGGCCACGGATGCTACGTTTCTCGAAGGAAGATATTCCAGGGAGGTTTTTGAGACGGACATACCTTCACTGAATACATGTAGGCAGCGGATCCTGTTTCTTCCTCCTCAGCAGATCTTTCGGGCCGCGAGAGATTTCCCTTCAGTTGCTATGAATCCTGCCTTATTCAAAGGCGGCGTGGCCTTGCTAAGTGAATCCGCCGGCTAGAGTTCTTGATTCCAGCATTTATAAGAAGCCCCATGCAAGTCTGCGGTCTTTTCCCACCCAGCGCCCATCTTTGACATATCGCGTCGTCAACCTTTGAACCACCAAGCAACACATCCAGAACCAAAATCGCTACACTCGACTTCTGGACCGCGCTCCTGAGAAGCATGAAACCGATGTCAACATGAGCTCCGACTCGACCGCTGAATTGCTCGTAGCAATGAAGCGCACCAAACTGGCCACTAGATTCTTGCACCTGCCAAACGAATTACAATTGGCGACTCTATCAAATCTCACAGCTAGGGAGATCCAACGTGCGCGTCGCGTCTGCCGTCACTTCAATACCTTGATCCAGGAGCCAAGCAACTCGAACACTCTCTACACCCGCGCCCAAAATCGCGAATACGAGCGCCTTCAAGCCGACGTGAGCAATTTCCTCAACTACAGCAACATCACCTTCATCGAAGCTCTACGACGCTTCAGTGAGCGTCGAGGCATCTGGTCCCACGAGGCGCATCAGCGGTGCATCCTCGAAGTTCTCGTGCATCTATGGATGTCGCAGCACGAGCACGTTTGTGCTGGGATGCTCCCGAGTTTCGTCGCGACTCATTTGCAGAGAGAAACTGCATGGATGGTCGCCGCTCGCTTGCTCGACGTCCATCGTGAAGCTCTCTTGCTTCAACCCCCGATGTACGTCCTGCCCCCGATGGCCCAGGTCTGTACCTACAGTGCGGCTGCTCGCAGTAGAGCTTGGAGAATGGATGTCGCGCAGAAGGCTCTCTTCCACAAAGTCCCATCGGCACCATCCCCGCTTCTGGCGATTCCACTGTGGCCACTGACACCGTTATACTACATCGACCAAGGCGATCACACACGTGGATTTGATTTCTTCTTGGGTATCTGCGGTCAAAACAGCTTGGCGGAGCTCCTTGGAGTCCCAGAGCTGCCTGCATATTGCAATGGAAGCTTCGCATACTGCGCCAGATCGCAGAAGACTTATGATCTGGTTGTTGAGGGCAGGAGGAAGGGAGGAATGTCGTTGGTGGAGCGGGTGAGGGTTATGGAGGACATGTTTCTGTTTTGACCTCATGAAAGGACGGCACAGAGGGACACTTGGATGCATTGAGGAGCGGTTTGTAGACGAAGCGGAACAAGGGAAGAATCTGGATTGGTGAACGATTGCGATATTGGGCAACTCGCCTTCATTATATGCAGGCTAGTCCTAGATAATGACAGCCAAATAACGACTTGCGTGCGAAGCGCTTCCTTAACGAGCATCTTGTTTACCTTAACGCTCATCCTGCTCAATAATTGATGCTCGATGGCCTGATATCCTTGATATTTCTAGCCTGTCTCTTGGCGATTGCATGGCAATTGCTAGATCCTCTCATCGGCGCCAGCGACTCCTTGCAGTCATTGCATTCATTCGATCAAAAGAAATCTCCGAGAGAATCAGCTTTGTAGAGCGGACCCGCCTTGTGCTCGTGGCGCTGCTTAATCTGACGGCCCCGATTCCGGTGACGCTCCAGGATCTCCCGACTCTTGCGCTGCGAAGCAGTCTCACCCGCGCCTCTCGCCAAGCGCATGCCTTCAGAGTAGGTGTGGACGTGGAGAGTTGGCGGGACGACAGGCGAGTCTTCGCGAAGCACATAGCGAGTCTTGCGAAGTCCGGTCTGGTTTTGAGCAATGCTCCAGCGCGTCTCCTGCTTGCGGCCGAAGGCGAGATTGGCTTGACCTTGGAATTGACGGATCGTGTTGAGACCGACGAGCATGTGGTGACCTGTGTGATGACTCTCCACGTAGGCTTTGATGGTTTGATCGACTCCCGCGATGTAAATGTTGAATTCAGTGTACTTGCTGTGGGTGACGGTAGTGCCATCGGCAAGGGTGAAGCTCTTCGGTGGGCAGTCCAGGATGCGGAGGCGCGCAGCCTGGGCTGCGGCAGAACTGATGAATGTTGATGAGGCACCGGTGTCGAACATCATGTGGGAGACCTCGAGCACGAACATGCCATTTACAACGATCCCGGTGGTTTCGAAGACCTGGCCATGGAGTCCTTCCTGATCGTCTGACTGCTTGCACTTCTGGACGGCGAGAGACCTCTTCGCGAGGTAGCCGCGATCGCTCTCGACTGGCGCGGTAGAGCGGAACATAGTCGACGTGACGGTGCTCGCAGTGCCTCTGGCGGATCGGGGGATAGGAAAGTCGTGGAAGTCCTCGTTGTAGAAGTCCTCGTTGTAGAAGTCCTCGTCAAGCGGCTCGCGCTTGATATACGCCATCTTGGTTGGTAGTCTTGTGGAGCTACTCTGAATCTCCGTCAGCTTTCACAATCACGTCAAGTTTGAGGCCTTTCTCGTTGCATACCTGTTGTGTCGCAGTTCAGTCGCTGGGGTATGAAAGATATTGAAGGACGGTGGAGGAAGCATAGAGTTAAATGTCGAAGATGCAGGCATTCTGGAAACCTCACCTGCCTCACTTATGCATCGCCGTTGAGGTGCATGACTTTGCAGAGTGAGGGATCGGCTTGGTCAACGGAAGCAGGAACGCGAAAGTGCCAAGCCGTAGTACATACTCACATGCCCCAAACTCCAGATTACATGAATCCTAACATCGTGCGTTGTAAACATCCACATGGACCTCACATCAATTGGCCGGGTACACTCTCCAGCTCTTCCATTCCCAGACCGCCGTCTCAAAAGCCGTATTATTAGTGGCGACAAATTGCGAACAATCTCCTGGACATCCATATTCTGTGGTATAGACAGCGTCGAAGCCAGCCCAGGTCCCGCAAAGATCAATGTTTGCAATGATACTCTGATTTCGAAAGTGACTGCTTATATCGCAGTGGGTAGAAGGAAAGTCGGCCAAAGCTTCGCCCCAAGTGCTCGGATCCGGCGCGGTGGTATTCGTTACGTCGTCGGGGATGTCGGAAGGAATTCCATGCTGGCGGGAGTCATAATAGAGGGCTCTTCTCCGACCATATGATTGTGTCTGTGTCAATATGCTCTTTCCAATTTGTGCAGTGACGAAACCTGAGGCTGGAAAGTCGTTCGGAGTCCGGTCCGGATCGCGATTGCTCCGCCAAGCCCAAGCCCCATCTGCGCGGACAAAGCTTGCCATCAGTCACTGACTGCACTATTTCAACTTCAACCTCCACACACACCAGTCACGGCGCCGCCGCCGCCTGCATGCGCGCTGACATTCACTCGGAGCGTCTCACACAACCGCCAGTGTCCTCAGCGCCGTGCTCTCACTTCACTTGAAGCGCGACAACCTGCCACAAGGCGTCCGCCGCCCAGGCAGGCTTCACTTCAAAACACCTCCCCCTCAGCCTGAGGACAATTTGGGGAAGCACTTCTTCAATGGACAATCATACGTCGCCTGAAAACCCGCTGGGCCCTCTCTTGGACGATGACACCATCACAATCCCCGCCAATCAGGATACATCGGCCTCACTTTACCCGTTCCTTGACATCTCCGTCTTGTCGAGGAGGAGACGCACCGTCGCTCGCCCGAACCCGTCTGGCCTCGACGCGCGAGCAGCTCCCAGCAGAGCTTCTGGTCCGAATTTCAATCCAGAAGCCATCGAGTTTGTGCCTACGGGAAGAATGCCTCCTAAGCGAAAGGCATCCACTTCGTCGCGCTCGGCTGTGAAGTTATCTTCCCCTCGTAGCAGCTCCTCCACTTCTGATTATCCAGTCTTGTCGGCTGAAACCCTGTTTGGACGCGATGTGCTGAGAGCGAACAGCGAAAACTTGGAAAACTTGTTGTCTGAGGACGACGAGGAGCAGTCAGAAATTTTCGAGCTCGAATTGCAAGATGCGCGAGCCAACAACCAACAACCGGGTAACGGCATACAGCACGAGCGTCTCCAAGAAACTTTGTATCTAATGCGTACGCAAGCCGAGAAGATCAAGAAGTTCACAGATGGGGTTCAATATCAGTCGGCAATCCTCTTTACACAGGACAATTCCGGCCTTCGCGAATCTTCGCCGCCTCTTTCTGACGCCTCTCGCGCTATACGATATCTTCCATTATGCCCCGTGACCGCGAGTTACATGCGCGATGGTATCACGAAAGACACCGAGCTCACAGTGCTCCCGAGTCACCGTGAGCGCATCGCAAACTCTGCACAGATTACACATGCAAGTCGAGCTACATGGCCAAGCGAAGGGTACGCATCAAACCCATTACCACTGGAGATCTTCGACATCATCACAGACTTTCTTTCGCGAGACGATATCAAATCTATGCGCCTCGTCAACAGGGAGTTTGAGACCAAGGTTTCTGCTACTCTGTTCTGGTCGTCAGTGGTACCGTTCAACACCGAACTTTATGATATGGTCGATGAATATCGACCTCTGCAGGCAGCACGGCTGAGTGAGAAGGGTAAAGGGAAAGCAAGAGCACCTGACCTCCCCTCACCTGCAGCCACCGGCTTGAATTGGCACAACGCTAAGGAAGACGCTCAAGGCAAAATGTATAAGGGACATGGTCTACGCGTCTTTCAGGGCTTCGGGCCACATATCAAGCGATTTGGCATGAGTTTCGAGGTTGCAGAGGCTCAACTCGCTCGGCCACCCATCAAGAAAGAGCTTGATTTTTTCCACTCTTATCATGGTCCCTACGCCTGGCCGCCTCAACAGTACACTCGCTTCGCGAATCTCGCCGGCCTCGAGCGAACAGCGGATGAGACGCTCCGCATGAAGGCAGCTTTCGCAAATCTTCACAAGGTGCAGGATCTGGCACTTTCACTCGACAGTGGGCTTGGTTGGCTCAATGGACCCGATAAGTCAATTCATGCCAGAATCTTCCAGCGACCGACTCCCGTGTTTGGCCAATCGCGTTCTGTACCTGACCAGCAAATGCAAGAAGCAAAAGCTTTCTGGAATTCGATTCAATCGTGTCATCGGAGCCTCGGCATCAACTTCGATCCCAAAGAAGTGTCTCTTGCCCGTCGCATGCTCACCAAGCCTCCAGCAGAATTGAGCGGACTGCAAGGTACTCGGTACGCTGATCCGAAGCATTGGCTGTCGATCGTAGGGGAGAGGACTGCGCCTGCTATATTCGGGACTAATTCAACCGAAAACTCCAGGTATGGCGTGCTGTACACGACGTTCAATCAGCCGAAAAACAGTGCAGAACTCTTCGACAAGTCTACTTTAATGCCAGTCGACTTGCGCAAGGAACAGAAGGAGTGGTTGATGGAGACTGATTGGGCCCAACGAGCATTCTTGGAGTGCTACATGCTCGCTATCACTGACAACCCGCTCACGTTCGCGAGGGTCAAGTCGCTCACCATTGCAAAAGTCTCCAGCGGTTTGTTACCAATACTCGCCCGAGAGTCATTCTGGGACGCCCTTCCAGGACTGTCTGATGTCACCATTCACGTCAAGCCCGACTGGCGTGCCGTCGAGAAGGACAATGCGGGATTTGCAGAGGCTTGCTCGCGTATGCCCTCTGACGCCGTCAACGTCTTTCACAAAAGCATACTGCGAGATCGCATCTGCCTGAGATCATCAATTACCAAATTGAACATCGGTTGGGTAGGAGGCGGAGAGCATGCTGAAGGAATTTTCGCCCGCAACAACCATCTTCTTCCAGCACCCATCATGCCCCTTGAATACAGCACTGCCATCACCGCCAACTTTGGTCTTGTCTTCAAATTTGTGAAACACCTCACCCTCACGAACTGCTGGATGACGCCATTAATGCTTCAGGAGCTGGTGTCCATTCATGCTGAAAAGAATCTCAAGACTCTGACACTCGACTCAGTGTCCTTGACGGCGCATCCCAAATTTCCGGCGGGAGCCCAGGCTGGCATTAATCAACAGATTGCGCAAGCGATTGTAGCAGCTCAGAACGGCCAGCAGCCAGCATTACCGGGACTGAATGCAGGGAATCCGCCGCAAGGTCTGCTCGCTAACATGCAGCAATGGCTCAACAACCCTGGTCCTAATTTTGGAGCTGGACATTTGCAGCAATTGTTACATCAGCACGCGCAGCAGTGGGGCCTCCTGGCTCAAATGCCAGCACCGGTCCAGCCTGTGCAGGCTTTGCAGCCTCAGCCAGCAGTACAGCAAAACATCCAACAAGCAGTAGCCGCCAACAGCGCAGCTGCTGCTCACTGGACTGCTAATCATCGTGAGGGTTCTTGGCCAGAATTGATCAACAAGATATCTCCTGGTCGAGTCTTTAGCGATTTCCTGCCGCAGCCTGCTCCGTGGGAGGAGCAATTGCCTGAGCGCAGACGCACCAACTTGCGTACGATCGAGTTCAAGTCTTGCGGCTACGCAAAGCTGATCAACAATAACAGCTTCGATCAATTCGCGATCGAGGCTGGTCACGACCATCATTTCTCCACATGGTTCCGATCACGTCTGGCCGCTCTCACCCCCGCCATGATGAGCACCAATGACCGCTACTTTGGGAGGATCGTTCAGCGAATCCCTGAAGCCGAGTCGAATGCGCTTTTGCTCGCTTGGGGCTTCAATGAGCATTTGTGGAGTGACGGTGCTGAAGAACCAGAATATGATGGTTTCTTGCCTGGTGGAACTGGTCGCTTCTCAGGCAGAATTGATGCTGACACCTCTAATTCTGCAGCGGTGACCTCTGAGTGAGATGACTTTATGAGTTCAGTGATGACTATACACTAATACGAGAGCGAGCAATCGTACATGCTCTTACGACTTGGACGATGTGTAACGAGTAGCTTAAGGAGAATCAAAATCTTGGAAGGGCGAATTATGGGTCTCAGATGCCCACTGCTAATGAAGGAAAATTGAAATCTGCGATTTCACGCGGCAGTACGTGACTTGCCGGCGCTTCACATGCAGACATGCACACCGTGCAGCAGCTTCAAGCGAAACCTTCCTGCTAACCTCACAGACTTCTTCTTCTTCTTCTTATAAAACCCGAAGCACATTACTCGCCGCTCCGAATTATATCAGAAACGCGACGTACAGCATTCCTTTGCAGTTCGATTTCCAGATCTCACACCGAAGCTAGGTCCAAAAGTGAGCAGACCTCAGACGCAAGAACAACCATCACATTGCAAATGGCAACCCTCGGCCGCCTCTCCGCGCCAATCCTCCACCGCGAGTCACATTAAAGCATCCTGTCTTCATCCCTCTCAACCTCTCTCTCAACCTCGCCGCAATCTTCCTCTCCACACGTTCCAACAACGGCATGACGAAATACCGCAGCCGAAAGACTGCTTCGTTGCACAGGACAAATGTTGGCATCTCGATGCAACGTGGAGCTCTGAAAATTAGAAGCTATCCAAGAATAGGATCTCTGCCTGCTGTGAGAACATTCGATGTGCTACTGAAGAACACCAGCTTGCTGTGCCGTGAACACGCAGAAAGGATTTTTGGTAGTGTAGTGTAGTACTTACTGCTAAACACGTGGTAGCTGTATCTCGAGAACTCGCCAAGCTTCAGATGCAAATACAGACACTAGCCCTTTCGGATTGCGGCACGGAGTGGGTGCACATCGAGACGTGGAAGTCTAGGCGTCAAAACAGGAACTTGATAGTCATTTTGCTTGCGTAGAAGTCCGAACATCTATTTCTTTCCCTTCTGCTTCTTCTCAGCACGCTTCAAGCCGCGAACATCCTTCTTAAGCCTAGGATCGACCATCTTATACTTGCCCTTGACGCCTCTAGGTCGGCCACTGCCCTTATTTTGGCCACCGGCACGAATGACCTTGACGGGCTGCTTTTTCTTCTTTCCAGCCTTTGCAGCCTTCGCCATGAGTTTCGAGATCTGGTTGGCCTTGTCTCGCTCCGAAGCATCACCATCCTCGGCCAGACCTTCACTCTTCTTCTTGATCTTCTCGATCCTTCGTGCAGCACGAAGTGTCTTGCGGGCCTTGGCTTCCCGGACCTTCTTGATAGGTCGGGCGTTGAGAGCGCGCATTTTCTCTTTGATAGCAGCAGCAGCTTCCTTGGTGACGGGACGCTGCGCACGAGAATGCTTGCCTTCGTCGTCTAAGAACCACTCTGGCAACCCATCCGTGTCGCGCAGGGAGTACTTGTTGAAGTTATCATCAAGCATTTGTGCTTTGGTAATCTTCCCGGTCGCGAGCTGATGTGCAAGAGTCATGGCTTCGGCTGTAATGATATCGATGTTCGGTCGGCCTTCATCCTCAGGCTTCTCTTTCGTGGTACCCTCTTCCCAGTCCTCATCCGAGTCTTCTGCGGCGACCTCTTCAGGTTCAGATCCATCTTCTTCCGCCGCCTCCTCCTCAACGTCGTCCACATCCATCTTTTCGGTCTCAGCCTTGAGTTCGGGCGAGTCGACATCAATACCACTATCCCGATCCCGACCTCTGTCCGCATCTTCCTCCTCTGCATCTTCATCGAGACCATCGATCCCGCTGAATATATCCTGCTTGAAGAACGATGCAGCTCTTCTCGACAGACCGTTTTCTTTGTCGTCCTTTCCATGCAGATCAGTGGTCAGTCCTGCGTTTTCTTCCTCGTCACTCCAGTCAGAGTCATCTTCAACAAGCTCGGCATCACTGCTGGCATCGGTGTCGGCTCCATTCTCACGCTGGTCGAAATCTTCAAACTCTTCTTCATCGTCCTTGTGTTTGCCTGCCTCTTTTCTCATCCTCTTTGCTCTTGCTTTGGTGTCCCGATCCTCTTTCGCAGCCTGATACATCTCATAGGCGCTGTCTAGCTGCCTTTCGAGTTCATCGCCGTCTTCATCCTCGTCGGCTTCGCTTTCGCTGGCCTCGAATTCTTGAGGTTTTTCCGGGTCGGCTAGATATTGCATCCTACCGCGTGTAATCTGACGTCTTGTGTTCGGATTCTTGTCCACCATCTTGAGCTGGAATACTTGATCGTGTTCTCCAGCCTCAATACCGATGTCACTCGGCGTTGTCATACCCATCTGCATGCGCACGATATCTTTCTGCTTCTTCTCGTTCTCCCGTCTCTTCTCTTTCCTCTTGTGCTTATCCTGCGCATCCTTCATGGCTTGAAGCTCCGCCTGATACCGCATTTCATCATCCATTGACTCCACCACGGCAACTTCTTCACCAGCTTCTCCTTCCGTTGGCTCTTGGGTCTTCTCCTGCGATTTATGATCTGTACGCTTCTGCTTGAAGCCAAAACGCTCTCGCGCTTTTAATCTCCACCGTAGAAGAACCTTGAATTCCTTGCGGCCCAACACCTTCAGATCCTCGCAGTTTTCACGCACTTCCTCCGTCGTCTCTGAGAGCTTGTCAAGAGCAGCAAGTGCGATATCGCCATTCGCTTCCTGTCGGAAATGTAATCTGTTCAAACTTCCAAGCATCGCGATCGGATCCTGTGTCTGAATGAACTCGCTCGCCGGTGCCTCGTGAAATTGAGTCCAGTCTCCCTCCTCATAACCCTCACGCTTTCTCTTCTTCTTCTCGGGATTGAACACCTTCGCCTCGTCACTTTGGCCCTTCTCCTTGACTTCCATAAATGCATAATGTGGATCCAAGAACTTGGGATCCAAATGCTTTGGCGCCTTGTATCCTCTACAGACATAGAACGTCTCAGCCGACACATTTCTGCTACTCGGTGGCTTCGTCTGATCAACTTTGTTGAACAACTGCTTGAATATCCACTCCAGCTTCGCACTGTCTTTGCTCCTGAACACCTTCGAGACAAATGTGCCGCCATTCGCCAAAAATTCCGTCGCCAGCTTTAACGAGCACAGCACCAGTTCGTTCTGGCTGAAAGCATCCTGAACCCAAGCAGTTCCGACATTCGGTGCACCGTCGTGAATGACACAGTCTGCCTTCCACGTCTTCAAATGCCCGCGTATTATCGCCCTCGTCTTGTCGGATGTGATATCGCCTTGCCAGGTGATCGTCTTCGGGATGGGCTTGATGGGAGAAAGGTCGACACCAAGAATCAACGACTTTTGGGGCATGACTTCCGCGGCGACTTGCAGCCATGAGCCTGGCGCGGCACACAGATCGATCAGGCATTTTGCGTTTTGGAGGAACGAGAACTTCTTGTTCAGTTGGATGAGCTTGAATGCCGCACGCGCGCGGTAGCCTTTCTCTTTCGCGAGGTAGTAGTATTTGTCCAGACGCGCTTTCGCGTGCTTCTTCTGGATCGCCATGGCGACGGCGGCGGAGTTGGGAGGAAAATGCAGTACTGTTTCTGCAGCGGCGGCGGTGGAGAAAATGTCGAGACGGCTGGACGAAATCTTGGCGTTAGCGCTTGGCCAGGGATCGGAGCTGGCTGCGGCTGCCAAGGCTCAACCTTCGCACGTCGCAAGCCTCTCCTCTCTCCTCCCCACTAGACATCTCATTCTGCACCTATGCATTTCTGTCACCCAACGTGAAATCGGGGCACTTATTAGCTTGCTGCGTTTGCTGTTTGGATCCATCACATTATCTTTGCAGCTCTTATGTGATCACATGACTTGATATATCTACATTCACTCACAGTATTGCTAAGAAGGATCATCCATGATGCTGACGGGCAGGGGAAAAGGCTTGCCGCCTGCTCCTGGATGTTTGGGCGACAGCAGGACTGGTGTGGGCGTGCATGCCAATATGGTATCCGCGATGAAATTCAAGTTCTACACAACAGCTCTAAGCGATTTTGTAAAACCCCAGCAATCTCGTAACATCGTAGTCCTCGCATCTCATTCGTGTCATATACTTCGTCATATCATCCCTCGTGGTGGTAAAGGATCTATTTGCCGGCTCGAAAGCTGTCGAAAAGAGATCTTGCTCGTTGTGATTGACCAGACGTGAATTCGGTCAGGCACTCGTCAGTAGAGTAATCCATATAGTTGTGGATGTTGTCCGTGCCCTGTTAATGTTAGCAAGTTCCGTGAATCAGAGCAAGGATTGGATGGACTGACGGGACTATCAGGACAGCTGTCCTGAGAAGCTGGGCATCCTGAAGTCGGTTGCGACTGAATAGGCGTGTCGCCGACTTGGTCACCGGAGCCACTGCAGCTGTTGCCTTCGAAAGTGTGGTAAAGCCCAAACCAGTGTCCAGATTCGTGAACAGCCGTCATGCCCTCGTTGTACCCGTTCACTGTATTTCGTGATTAGTTAAATGAGTCAAGCATTTGGTCTGGGCAACATACCTTCTCCGCCAGGGAGTGAGCCTGCTAGATGGATACAGCCGTCTAGTACTTGCATGTTCGCATCTGGGTTGGAGGTAGGGAAGTAACAGAAGCCGCTGCGGTAGTTAGAAAACGGCAGCTGGATCAGAAGTGGCGCTGTGTCTGAGAATCTGTTCTTTGTGTCCACTTACAGAAGACCTCCGCCAAGATCACTGAGAAAATAGAGGTTGAGGTCGCCGTAGCTCCCTTGCCGAAGCTCTTTCTTCATGTCGATCTCTTCATTACTGCCAGGTGTGGCAGCAGCCCAAGAGCTCTGGACTGTGAAGTCGACGCCAGCGCTGAGTCAAGTAAGCGCGATTGCAGGCGGGAAACGTGTATCGACAACATACGTGGTGAACGAGAAGCCCATCGAAGCATAAGCCTCATTCATCACCTCCATCTGATCTTCGACCATCTCTTGTGTATATTTGTCTTTCTTTGATTGCGATGTCACAACATGGATGTAGGTATCAACGTTGCGCGTGGCGGCTGAGGCGACCATCGTTCGATTGCTTGCTGCGGTGTCGAGTAATGCTTTCTGGGAGGTTGATAGAACATAACCACCACAGCGACTTATGCTAGAATAGGCATTATGAGCGGAAACGGTGTAGATTAAGGAAGAAGTGATGATTGCGAGAACGAACTCCATTGTGAGAAGTGCGGAAGGCGAGTGATTGAAGAGGAAGTGGGAGTGGGCGCGTGATGGGCTGTCATTCTGCGAGTCTCAGAGACCACTTATATGGCATTGCAAGTCCTTCTCTTGCCATCTCTTGCTTGGAAGGCGAGAGAGCCCAAGGATTGTCGGGTCTGTGGTGAACTAGTAGTTCGTCCAGCGGTCTTGTCATGCAGGAATACCAGCCTAGCATTTGAGGGACCGAAGCTCGGTGCGAACGATATTTGGACACTGGTACGCAACGGTCTCCTCCAGCACGGTGGCAGGCAATAGCATGTTGGCGAGCTGCTGGAAGTTTTCGATGCGCGCGAGCTGAGCGACTTTCATTGTGAACAGAATATGCAATGTCCAGAAATGCAAGCGTCCGAAGACGAAGACGCGACGCGACGTCCAAGGAATGCCTGGACCCGAAGTTTTGCCGAGTATTTCCTGGGCTTCTTCGAGGCTTCTGCAACCCAGACCAAGCATTTGACCTTCAAGTGCGCGTTCAGAGGACATCGCCAACCTCGTCTGAGCCCGTCAACGATGGAGTACTGTATACAGGTCATCGAGCGACCGCGTATGCCATCGCTGCCGTCATACCGAATCCTTCCGCCGCCACCTCCTTGTTTCTGGTCTTTCTTTATTCAGCTACATTCATTCAATTTCATTGCCCTCCACCTTCCCTTGCACCCCAGCCTTCCACCATGATGCGCAGATCGCTGGCGATCTTACGGAAAACAGTCCAATGGCTATTCATACTAACCCTGCCATTCACAATCCTGCCACTTTTTGGCGGCCTCTTCGGCGGTGTATACTGGGCATTCTGGAATAGCAATCACGTCTGGGAAGGGACCGAGAAATGGCTACACGAAGTCAAGGACAGGAGCCAGGACTGGACAGTCGGCGGGAACGCGATGAGCTTTCAAGAATTTCAAGACCAGCCAGGCACGGTTACGAACTCATTCCCCGTCCTGCGTGTCAACAGTAACGATTGGTTTCGGAAATTGGGCTTCATTCTTCCCGACCAGTACTCCGACCCGGATATGATTGTGGAGCTGGACACTCCTATCGATAAGTTCGCTGATTTGACCAAGATTATGCGCGATACAAATCATGCTGCTGCCATGATGAAGCGCCGAGAACAATGGATCTGGCTCACGGAGTTTGGCTGGCCTTTCTACAGCGAGTGGGATGAGGCGTTCGTTACTGCGACTCGATACGCGCAGGGCGATCGGAAGTTGAACAAGACGAGCATGTACGTTGCAGGATGCAAACACAACGCGGGTTTCATATGCAATGTATGGAGCACAAGAGCCCCCGCTCTGATTCATTTCATCGCTGAGGACGGCCCCGTAGACCTGACCGATCTCCACGAAGAAGGCCTCTCCTACTCAGCCAGCCCACGCGGACTGCGACAAGTCACCGCGAGAATCATTGAGTTTCCGCTCAAAGACGCCTACCTCAATCTCCCCGTCAATACCTTCCCCAGTGAGGAGGAGCAGGTACTTGGTATCATGACAGGTGACAAGCTGTACGAACAGTTCGAGCCATACCATCCTATGGAGCAAATGATGAAACGCTTCAACGAAGTCATGCAGAAGGTTGGCGACAAGCGCGGCGAGCTGCTCTGGTATGTCTGGGAGGCTGATCGCTGGATGATCGAACATGTCTATAAGCCACTTGGGCTTGAGGACGCCATGACTTTTGTGCACGACTTGACCTTCATATTGACCGGAAACCTCTTTCAAGTGCTGGTACTTGATCCTTTAAGGACAGCCAAGTTCTTCTTGGACGAGTTTACAGGTAACCCCAAGCGAGGAGACTGGGTGATGGGGGGCTCATGGCAGGAACCGAAGGCACAAGTGCCTATGAGTGACTGGATGAAAGATTTGATTGCTTCGTTATCGTCGAAGAGCGTTATGGAAAGCGTGACGACCTCAGCATACAGCACTGCCCAGACGACACCATGAAAGGAATTTCTCGGCAGTACAAGTATCAGCTGAAGGTCTGAAGCACCGAGGATGCGCTCGTTAAAGGATCATTGCTACGAGAGCCGAGTATCGATAGGTCGATGCAACCAATCCTCGATCAATTCATGGCGGCTATCCACTCTGCTATCCTTGCCTGAGATCGGCCTACTTGACAACCAGGAACGAGAACGCAACCGCGTCGCATTGTCTCTGTGAGAGCAAGCGCATCCTTTAGGTGCAGTACCTGCAGTCGCTGTGTGTCTACGTGGAAGCATTTCCGCGTGCACCATGGCTCAAGAAATAGTTCAGATCGCCCTGTATGGAAAGTCAGATTGCAGAGGCCAGACTTAGTCTTCACTGCATGTGGGCTGTTCAATTGGCACTGGGCATCCCTTTGGAGTGCCACATTGGAGTGCCGAAGTACACTCTCATGAGAGCAAGGGTCTCTCAGAGGAGGAATATGAAGCTATATGCTCAGCAGGAGCCCCGGCCTTCAGATGATGCTAAAAGCCTAGGCGACGCTGCCTTCCATAGACATTTGATGCTCAACTCTCTATCCAGGTTCCATGAGATGTAGTTTCTACTTTATTGAACGGGATCTGATCCTTGCAACCATCTGAAAAAAGCCATCGCAAGTTCACTCAACTGGAATAGCTGACTTCCACACCAACCCGTCCGATCATTCTTTCCTTCTGCCTCAAATCGAAGCCAGCGCCCAAGCTAAGAAGCAGTTCCTTGAACCGACATTCCCACAGCAGACCTAATCTTCCATGATTGTCCATACGAGCTTTCAGGACCCCAGTAACATCATCATCATGCTTCGTCCAGCCAGGTCGCAGTTTCTGTTCGGCCCACGACACCTCCGGAGAAGCCTGTCTTCTCTGCCACAGCTCCATGCCAACGACCACGTCGCTCTCGTAGCTATAGAAATTGAAGTCGAAGCGCGAACAAAGCGCTAAATTGGGCCCTGCTTTGACGGCGTACGAAGAGCTTAGTCCGCCCATGAGAGGATTCACAGTAAGCGCCATGGTGTATGGAAAGCCGGTATGAATTGGCAAAGTCGTGAATCGCAGACCAGTGCTGAGACCTCCAGACTTGTTGAGAGGACTGAAGTATGCTTCAGCTCCAAGACTAAGTCTGCCGTTCTGATGATCCCATGGGTGAGCTGGTGCTCTAGTAGAAGGCTGGTGCTCGGGAAAGCGAGGATCATAGCCAAAGTTGTACAATCCTCGGACTCCCAGCAAAGCACTGTCTGTTGAGTAGAGATACTCGGTGCTGTATTTGCCACAGTCGTTCTGCAAAACTGCGAGAATTGTGCCACCGCTCGGCAGACTGCTGTCGGATACAGCGTTCAAGCGCAGCAGTCTTGTACTACTGATACGCCTGAGATAGAGAGCCTCGAGCGTGCTCGATGGTAGGTACAACCTGCCATATAGGAGTGCATCTTTCTTGCCCAGCTTTTCACCATCTATGCCAGCATTCCATCCAGCTCCATCCACTCTGTCTAGCTCTTGAAGATGCCTGTACCCTCTCACAAGCCGGCTCAGTGGTAGGTCGCTGCTTCTGCTCGCGACTCGGAGGCCCAGGCTGGAGTAGAGAAAGCTGAGAGAGCCATCTACCACGCCTTTGCTGGCGACAGTGTATGATGTCGCGAAGTTTGGTGCCGATAGCGAGGACACGTGCAAGCGTATGCCAGATGGGATGCTGAAATCGAGGATGTTATGCGAGGTTGTGGTCAGGGAGGCATAGCTGTTATCCACGTTCCAGTGGGACCTCTTGTAGAAGGCTGCCTGGACATAGTCCATGAAGTCCAGCATCTTCGGCTAGGAGAACTCATCTTGAGCGCATGTCATTGAATGTCGTTGCTGTGCCAGATTTGGTATATGGAAGGTTTGTGATGCAGCTGGTCTTTGCGAAGTCGAAGTTGCGAGCTTGTCAGGCGCCAAGACTGTGAAGCTTCCTTGCACCCGGGATTCCCTGGGCTCGGGGAATGAGTCTCAGTTGGGGTGATCCTATACCTGCTTCAATTTACGACAAACACGAACTATTTGGATCAACAATATCTATACACATCAACTACACCATCTCCCTCTGATCCATCTTCGCCAAATCCCTCACAGAAGCATCCTTCTCCGCAAAACTCCTCGCAGATTCCACCTGTTGAATCTCCGTCTGCACGACGATTTTATTCCCATAGGAATTCCTATCTGCACGCCGCCCATCCATACTGGTACAATTCAACTCGATCTCATCCAAAGAATTCAATAATTCCCTATCATTCCTGTCAAATCTGCCCAAAGGTCTCGAGAAACTCGATTTGTGCGAGGTATGGGAGGCGGTGATGGAGTTTTTATACGTTGGTGCAGAAGAGGATGATGTGACGTTTCCAGAGCTGAATTTCCCGGCGAATGAACCTTGACCTCCTTTGCTGGATGCGTTGTTGCTTCCGAAGCCGAAAGACTTTCGGTACCTGTTGTAGCTAACCTGTTCGTGATGACCGTTTCCAGAGAATTTCTGATCATGGCTTCCACCAGAAACGGCATAGGTCGCACTGCGGAATATCTTGGGAAAGAGGCATCTCAGGGTAGGTAAGCAGGAACACATGATTCCCACGTTGATTTCGATGCTGGACCAGATTGCTATAAGACGAGAGTTAGCGAGTCTTCCTCACCGTGATACGTGTTTACCTACCCGCCATTGGATTCTGATATGTCGTATCTGTTGAAGTCATGAGGACGTGCAGGGCAGGTAAGCGGAGGATGGAGATTATGACGACGAGGCCTGCGAGTGCGAAGACGCCCATGAGGGCAAAACGTTGGCGACTGGGGAGTTGAAGTTTGTTGAGGACGGGGAGAGGGAGGAGGGCTATGATTATGTCGGTTGTCATGTTGAGCGATGTGCTCGCCATGCTTGATGGATAATGTCATGTCAGCGATCGGGAGCTTTGTTGATGATAAGTGCCGTTGTACTCACGATAGCGCGTTTCGATTCTGACATGTCTTGTGTTTGATCGAATGGTCCCAGACTATACGATCAGCATTCGAAATTGTCCGTGTTCATCGAGCTTTTCCTGCTGCTACTCACAAGCTTGTACAGGAACGCAGGTGAAGACCGCAGAGAAGAATCTCCAGAGTGCATAGCATATGACAATCCCCATTACCGTAAACGTCGCCATTCGGAACGGCTTCTGTGGGAATATGCGCAGGTATTGGAATAAGATCGATAGCTTCGTGAAGGTGAGGGAGATATTGTATACGATGATCATGGCCCAGAACTCGCGCAGATATAATTTGAGGTCGGGCTTCTTCACTTCTGATATGTGTTGTCCGAGCCCATGACTGGTTTGCGCGATCATCGTTACGGTCGTGCCGATCGAGGCGAGCTATGTGAGCAGTGTTAGTTTTGAATCCGATGTCCACTAGCGCGCTCTGTGTGGAAGTTGTACCAAAGCGACTGATATGGCAGCGTCATCCCATCCCGCATTCTTGGTAACTGCCAGTCTCGCATACATTCGCAAACTCGTGAGCAATGCAGCCACAGTCGGCATTGCGACTGTGACAGCTATTACGGCCTCATTGGAGGCATATCCGTACAGCACCATGATTCCCCCTAGCGTTTGGCTTCTTGCCGGTTACTCGAGTTGTGGAGACCGGCTCCTGTGCGGTAGGAATTCGTTATTGCGTGCGCATAACATCGGCGAGCATTGGAACCAAGTGCGTGTTTGAGCAGCAGTTTCGAAGTCGCAAGATGCGGCCGCCGCCCAGAATAATGGCCGGCCAGCTGTGATCGTGTTGGAGGTGCTATGACCAGATTCACATCCTTGAGGGATGGAGTCTGGAGACAGGCATCCCAAACCCTCATTGCGCGATGCTGGACGGAGGCCAGGAACAACGTCCACACAAGCCTCATCTCCCATATCGCATGGCCTAAAAATACTCACAGACGAACTCTCTGTCAGTCAATCGCACGAAGTCAGCATACAGCATTGAAACAGTGTAGCATCTGAGACAATCGACATAGCTGCGGTTGGTCTTGCTAAGCAATGGCTAGGGTTCTGCGAGGGTTGGTTTCAGGTACAGCAGCATGCTGTTCCTCCCCTGAAAAGCCTCCGAGTACCGTATTCGAGCCGGTGGGTTGCAGGCTCGAAGTGCTTCAGCTGCGTAAGACATTATCAAGTGCCAGATCGCAGGAGTACAGGCAGCTGGGCAGCCTTGCAGAGGAGTTCGCACAAGCGGAGAAGGTCAATGATTGTAGCAAGCATTCTTCATATGCCAAGAGGTCATGCAAATTAGATCACGCCGTCACGGAAGTGGAACTCAGGGGCAAAACATGTCCATAGCTGAAAGATATCGACACTGCCGAACGAACTGCTGTCAGCATTAAAATTCTTCCTGTTCTCGGAAGAACAGGGTGAAGGATATAATGGTCCCATAAATCAGCAGACCTCCGATGATACTCATGATCATAGCGGGAATCTTGATCTGATCGCAGTGTGCCAGAATAACGGGGAGAGCTATGCCTTTGTATCAGCGCCTGTTCTCGTTGTGTCTGAAACCTGGTCACGCGAGCGGTTGCGTGCCTACTGTACACACCAATTCCCATGACCACTAAGAAGCCCGTGATGAATCTTCCCAGCTCAATGATACTGCTGCTGCCATTGTCCATAAAGTCGTCCTGTTGTTGTGCTTTTGCGCATATCCAATTAGGCAGAGGCGCGATTACGTATGTCGCAACTACGAGCAGAGTGAGGTAGGATTCGAAGAGTGCTGAGGAGAGGATGACCAGCAGAAAGCCGATGGCGAGTATCTGTATGCCGCAGTGAGTAGATTGGCAGAAGCTAGGATCTACGAGGAACATACGAAGGAGAGGACGATTATGGTCTTAAGGCCTGCCATCGCCATGGCGGCTGCAGCTGCGTCGGATGAAATCCGTGGAGGTCTTTGTTGGGGACGTAGGGACTGTTCGTATTATCTCGGAATCGCGTAGCTATCTGTGATTGTGCTGTACCATTTCTCGATCCTTGCGAAGCGGCGGTGGTGGATGATGTTTCACTGTGGAGATGGTGATGACCGATGAGCTGCTTGGTTTGCGCGAAGGCAGCCGCTCGGACCCTGTCGGTGGAGAGCTCCTTCTCGAGCGACGCGAAACACCTCAAGCTGCTCCCACCTCACTCCATCTGCTGAACAACATCCACTGAATACTGCACACACCCCAGCTACAGCAGACAACAGACCGCCAAGATGTTCAGAAACAATTACGACAACGACTCCGTCACCTTGTGAGCATCACCGAATACGAAGCGCTGTGCACATTGGCCTTTGGACTGACCATCAGCCAGCTCACCCCAGGGCCGCATCTTCCAGGTCGAATACGCACAAGAAGCAGTCAAGCAAGGCTCCGTAGTCGTCGGCATCGTCAGCAAGACCCACGCAGTCCTCGCAGCACTCAAGGTAACACATCCATCGACATCACCATAATTATCCACCCATCACCACTAACCCATCTCCCCACAGCGCAACGCAGAAGAACTCTCCTCCTACCAGCGCAAAGTAATCCCAATCGACACGCACTACGGCATAGCCCTCGCCGGCCTCGCCTCCGACGCCCGTGTTCTCTCCAACTTCATGAAACAACAATCCCTCGCCTCACGCCTAACCTATGACCGTCCCATCCTCCTCTCCGAAATAACCTCCCGCATCGGCGACCGCGCACAAACCAACACCCAACAATACGGAAAACGCCCTTACGGCGTCGGTCTCCTCATCGCAGGCTGCGACGCCAACGGACCACACTTATTCGAATTCCAGCCTTCGGGAGTCACCCAAGAAATGGTGGCATGTGGGATTGGGGCGAGGAGTCAGATGGCGAGAACGTATTTGGAGAGGAATCTGGAGGAGTTTGCAGATTCGACGCGGGAGGAGCTGATTAAGCATGCGTTGAGGGCGCTCAAGGATAGTTTGAGTCAGGATAAGGAGTTGACGGTGGAGAATACGAGTATAGGTGTTGGTGGTGTGGAGGAGAACTTCAAGTTGTACGAGGGGCAGGAGATTGCGAACTATCTCGAGACGACGTTTGAGAATCGGCCGGAGGGAGGTGAGGGCATGGAGGTGGATTCGTAGGTTGAGGTGCCGGCGAGGTGATACTCCTACCTGCCTGCTCTTGCATCATGGCGAGGCGTTTGTGGATGGGTCTAGAGATGGGCTCGCTCGGGTATGCATAGTAAATGAAGACGTGCGCGAAAGCCTGCCAGCCAGGTTGAGGAGCGCACTTGTTACGAATAAGTAGAGGCATTCAATCCGCATCTCGCAAACAAGGGAAGAAGTTCAAGCCAAACGGATGGTTGGTAGAGAACGCGGGAAAGTCATGTCTCTGCACACATGAAATCTGGTTGTATTGGTGTACATACACGATATTTTCGTGTAAACGCCTCATGCGCCTGTACTATGTACATTCCCATCCCATCTACTTTCGTGCAATCAATCCTTATGCGCTCGCTCCGGCTAATTCTTGTGGACCATACCCAACTTGTGGGTTTGGCTCACCCGGTGCCATAAAATTCGTATGCGGGTCCTTCGCTGCTTTTGCCGCTGAACATCTTGCCATTGTCGGTGATGATCGCGTCACGCTGTTTGTGAAGTAAAAGTTCTCAATCACTCGTCGCAGTGGCTCGCCACTAGCGGTGGCGCCCTTGTTCTGCTCGACAAGCTGGACCTTGCTTAGTGCCTGAGCCTCTTGCGATGTTGGCTCGACAATGTCATATCTTCGGAGAGCAGGTGATACCTCCTCCATGCGGTCTCGTAGTGCTTCGATGTCATCATATGGTAGTGGCTTTTCAAGTGCTTCCGAAACAGCACGAATGATCTTCCAGTCGTCTCGTGCAGCGCCGTATGTGGATGTGGCGGCTCGTGACATCTGGACACGACCCTCGGTGTTGACATATGTCACACCCTTCTCGGTGTACGCTGCGCCTGGCAGCACGACGTCTGCGAGGGCTGCCGCTCGGTCTCCGTGGTGGCCTTGGTAGATCACAAAGGTATCCTTTGGAATATCGGCAGCGCTGATCTCGTCAGCACCAAGAAGCCACATAACCTTAGGCTTGACGTTGGCTGTCTCTGGATTCGACACAGTCCAGCCAACCTCAAAAGCACCAGCGCGAGAAGCAGCTCGCTGGAGGACGTTGTAGCCGTTCCACTCTGGAGTCTGGAAGTTGGCCTTGTTCTTCTCTACGAAAGAGCCGACAGATTCGTAAATGGACTTGGCATCTGGGTGTTCCACTGCGCCAGAGCCGACGATAATCATGGGCTTCTTGGCCGACTTCAGCTTCTCGCCGAAAGCACCACCAAGGGCGCTGTTCAAGTCCTTAGCGCTGTAACCAAGGCTCTCGTAGTCGAACGTTGATTCAAAGTCCTGGCCGACAACACCGACCTCGAGGTCAGAGCGCAGCCACTGCTTTCGTATCCTGGCATTAAGCACGGAGGCTTCCCATCTCGGATTGGTTCCGACAAGAAGAATGACATCTGCCTCCTCGACCCCAGTGATCTTGGAGTTGAAGGCGTAGTTGGAGCGGACATCGATCCCGTGGGCAAGAGGTGAAGAGCCCTGCGGCTGGTCGAGAGCAAGATTTTCAGATCCGAGCTTATTGGCAAGATCCTTCGCGGCAACCATAGTCTCGGTGTCAATCAATTCGCCAGCAACAAACTTCATCTCGTCACCCCTTGGTTGTATTTGATCAAACTTGTCCTTAATCTCGACTAGTACATTCTCCCATGTAGCTGGCTGGAACTGGTTATCTCTTCGGATGAGTGGAGTAGTCAAACGCTGTGTGCTGAGACCATCGCAAGCAAATCGACTTCGGTCGTCAATCCATTCCTCATTAATGTCATCATTGAGTCGCGGCAGAATTCGCATGACCTGCAGTCCACGGGCGTCTACCCGGATGTTGCTTCCCAAGCCGTTCATGACATCTACCGTCTCAGTGTGCTGAAGTTCCCACGGACGTGCTCGGAAAGCGTATGGCTTCGAGGTGAGGGCACCAACAGGGCAAAGATCGATGACGTTTCCAGAAAGCTCGGTGTCGAGCGCGGTCTCGAGGTATGTTCCGATTTGGAGGTCGTTGCCACGTCCTGTGCTGCCAAGTTCAGGTGCGCCAGCAACATCATTTGCAAATCGTACGCATCGTGTACAGTGAATGCAGCGGTTCATGGATGTCTAAGCATGTCAAGTCAACATCCAATATGCACGTTTCTCCTCTGTATAAATACCTTGACGAGAGGTCCAATATTCTTATTCTCGACGGCTCGCTTGCCGCCCATTTCGTGAAAGCGCCCGCGGTCTGCGCCATATCTCATGCTCTGATCTTGCAAGTCACATTCGCCACCTTGATCGCAAATAGGGCAGTCCAAGGGATGGTTTGCCAAAAGGAATTCCATTACACCTTCTCTTGCCTTGTGTGCGAGGGGGCTATTTGTCTTAACCACCATTCCGGGCTGTACAGGCCATGCACAAGATGCTACAGGCTTTGGTGCGCGCTCGACTTCGACCAGGCACATTCTGCAGTTCCCGGCAATCATGAGCTTTTCGTGGTAGCAGTATCGTGGGATCGTTACGCCGGCTTTCTCGCATGCTTGGATGAGGGCAGATCCGGCTGAAACGAATCGTCAGCATGCCAATGCCATGCCAATCAGTATCATCCGTATGCTCCATTACCTGGCACAGAGACTTTCTTGCCATCAACTGTGAGCTCGACATCGGCCTGCCGTCTCGCAGTCGTGGCAAAGGTGCGCGCAACGGGGCTGCCATTGCTGACCACCGCCGGCGACCGCGAGATTGAGCGCAACAGCTGCTTCCGCATCATCTTGAATGCCACGCTGCGGTTGCCGGGATATGTTGTGTTAAGAGAGGAGAAGGTCGCCGACGGCTCACATAGAGCAGACGTGTGGCAGTAATGAGGTCGTGCACGAGAATCGCAGAGAGCGAACGAGCTCCAGCCAGCCAATGGGGAGGCGATGGTTTGTGAGAGCAAATCTCGGGATGCCAAGTAAGCTGTATCACTGTCGCAGTAGAATGTATACCTGACGGACCCATTCTTCGATTATTGGGCTTCTACTACGAAATCAAAATTGGGCAACGACGACGACCTATGTTGTATACAGGGTGGCCCCCTTATTTCGGGACACGAAGCTCTTGTCTAGGCCTGTCGAAGCCTTCTAAACTCTGCGAAGTGTGTGCTAATCCAGTATTCAAGACGGCCTATTAAGCGGTCTATCCTAGTATATGTTACATTGCCACGGTGCCACTATATCATATCGAGGGCAAAGTGTTGTTTCCCTAGATGCGAGTATTATACAAATAGTGCTTGCGATCGCTGTCTTACTTAAGTTATATAACCTAACCTTTATAATTGCTATCGTCAAATAGCAAGTAAGAATACTATACGGTCTATACTTACCTTCGCTACTACTATCGCTCTCGTATTAACCGCTTTAGCAACGATGTCTAGAACTTAATATAAATGCAAAGCGCTTACTACTTATATATAGGTAGGAGCTTTCGGATGTTTAGTAATTAGTAAAGGTAGACCTGTAACCTATGTCGTTTAGGCTGCCAAGAAATGCAATAACTGTAAGTATTCCTATTACGAGCAAAAGTAAGTTGCGTGTTTGCGAATTGTCGACTAGTTTCTAATATAAGACTAGGGCTTATATAGCTCGAAGAGCTATATAAGAAGCCTAAGGCGACGAGTAGCTAAAGTCTTATTTAGACGCCTATAGTAGGCCTAATCTAAAACGCGTATAGTAAGTTATATCTAAAACGCTAATACTAAAAAGTAATATTAATCCGGAACGCGTTATAGATATTAGAAAGCACTATTTAGAAACGCTTATAGCGAGCACTATTAGGAACGCTTATAGCAAGATAGTCTTAAATATCTATAGTAACTACTTCCGGAATATGCCTATAGTAATTACTATCCGGAATACCTATAGCGAGTACTATTCGAAATATCTGTAGTAAGTAGTTCTTTCCGAGTTAGAACGCTTATAGTAAGTACTACCTATGAGGCGTGTAGTAAGTACTACCTATAAGGCAGATACTAAGTCTAATCTAAAACGCCTATAGTAATTTTAATCTGAAACACTTGTAGGGATTCTTATTCAGAACGCTTATAATACTAAGTACTATTCGGAACGCGTATAGTAAGTCTAATCCGGAGCGCTAATAGTTAGTACTACTATCTATAACGCCTATACTAAGTTTTATTTAGAACGCGCTATATAGCAATTCTAATCCGAAACGCTTATACTAAGTCTTATCCGGAACGCGTATAGTAAGTACTATCCGGAACGCGTATAGTAGGTCTAATTCGGAACGGTAATAGTAAGTACTATTACGAACGCTTATAGTAAGTAGTACTTTCTAAAATACCTATAGTAAGTACTATTTAGAATACTTATAGCAAGTTATATCCGAAACGCTTATAGTAAATACTACTAAAAACGCCTATAGCGAGTAGTAATATTCGAAACGCCTATAGCGGTAACTATCTAAGATATCTATAGCGAGTAGTACTATCCGGAACGCGTAGAACAAGCCTTATTTTAAACGCTTAGTATAGTTAGTTCTATATAAACCGGAACGCGTATAGCAAGTCTAATCCGAAACGATTATAGGTATTCGAACTGCTTATAGCGAGCGCTAAGTACCCTATATAACGCCTACTACGAGTACCTTATAAAACGCCTATAGCGAGTACTCTATAGAATACCTATAGCGAGTAGTACTATCCGGAACGCGTAGGATAAGCCTTATTTTAAACGCTTAGTATAGTTAGTCCTATATAGGCCGGAACGCGTATAGCAAGTCTAATTTGAAACGCTTATAGAAAGTCTTATCCGGAATATATATAGTAAGTCTAAGTCTAATCCGAAACTAAATACTTATATTAGGTACTACCCGGAAGGCCTAAAGCGAGTAGTACTATCCGGAACGCTTATAGCAAATACTATCTAAAACGCCTATAGCTAAATAGTATTCGAACTATTTATAGCAAGTACCCTATATAACGCCTACTACGAGTGCCCTAAAAAACGCCTATAGCGAGCCGGAATGCGCCTATAGTAATTGCTATCCGGAATACCTATAGCGAGTACTATTCGAAATATCTATAGTAAGTAGTTCTTTCCGAGTCGGAACACTTATAGCAAGTACTACCTACAAGGCGTATAGTAAGTCTAATTTAAAACGCTTATAGCAACTTTAATCGAAAACAACTATAGGAATTCTAATTTAGAACGCTTATAATACTAAGTACTATTCGGAACGCGTATAGTAAGTCTAATCCGGAGCGCTAACAGTTAGTACTACTATCTATAACGCCTATACTAAGTTTTATTTAGAACGCGCTATATAGTAACTCTAATACAGATCGCCTATACTAAGTCTTATCCGGAACGCGTATAGTAAGTACTATCCGAAACGCGTGTAGTAAGTCTAATATAGAACGCTAATAGTAAGTACTACTAAGAACGCCTATAGCAAGTAGTACTTTCTAAAATACCTATAGTAAGTACTATTTAGAATACTTATAGCAAGTTATATCTGAAACGCCTATAGTAAATGCTACTAAAAACGCTTATAGCGAGTAGTATTATTCGAAACGCTTATAGCGGTAACTATCCGAGATATCTATAGCGAGTAGCACTATCCGGAACGCCTATAGCAAATACTATCTAAAACGCCTATAGGCTATAGTAAATAGCATTAGAACTACTTTTAGCGGACACCCTATATAACGCCTACTACGAGTACCTTACAAAACGCCTATAGCGAGCACTCTATAGAACACCTATAGCGAGTAGTACTATACGGAACGCGTAGGAGTCGGTAGGACAAGCCTTATTTTAAACGCTTAGTATAGTTAGTCCTATATAGGCCGGAACGCGTGTACTAAGTCTAATCTAAAACGCTTATAGAAAGTCTTATCCGGAATGTACAAATTAAGTCTAAGTCTAATCCGAAACTAAATACTTATATTAAGCACTATCCGGAAGGCCTATAGGCTAAGACTATAGCGAGCAGTACTATCTAGAACGCTTATAGTAAGTACTATCTAAAACGCCTATAGTTAAACAGCATTCGAACTATCTATAGCGAGCACCCTATATAACGCCTACTCTAAGTACCCTATAGAACGCCTATAGCGAGTACTCTATAGAACATCTATAGCGAGCAGTACTATCCGGAACGCGTGGAATAAGCTGACTGTTACTAACAACGCCTATAGTGAGGCTAACCTAGAGCACCCATAACAGCAAGTACTATTTGGAACGCGTATAGTAAGTCTAATCTAGAGCGCTAACAGTTAGTACTACTATCTAAAACGCCTATACTAAGTTCTATTTAGAACGCGCTATATAGCAATTCTAATCCGAAACGCTTATACCAAGTCTTATCCGGAACGCGTAGAGTAAGTACTATCCGGAACGTATATAGCAAGTCTAATTCGGAACGCTAATAGTAAGTACTACTAAGAACGCTTAAAGCAAGTAGTACTATCTAAAATACCTATAGCAAGTGCTATTTAGAATACCTATAGTAAGTCTAATCTAAAACGCCCGAAACGCCTATAGCAAATACTGCTAAAAACGCTTGTAGCGAGTTGTAAGAAGGGTATGTTAGCAGGTAGATAGGGTGGTCGTAGATACAGGTAGTATTCGATAGAGATCTAAGAGGAGAGGGAGGGAGGCAGGCTAGTTAGCCTAACGCTAAGCGCCAAGCCCTGCCTAAGGCACTAAGACCCTAGCTTCACTCGGCCGGATTACATGCTAATTATATATAGCCTCTTTAGCTCTAACATACGCTTCCCTTCTAAAGGCCGCGCCCTCGTAGCCTGTCTATATTCCTATCCGATCTCTATTGCCGCTAACTTAGTAGGTCTAATAAGCTACTTAGCCTGCGCTAAATTAAACACTTAGTTACCTAGTTATGTAACTATGTCAAACCTTACTTTCAACACAATGTCTAACTCTAACTACGCTATCCTTATATATAATAAGGTAATATATATCTATAAGAATTAAGAACTATCGACTAATTATAATACGAGCGCGTCTTCCCTGCTATAATAGGTAGACGTACGAGGTATTATAGCCCTACCTCCGTTCTAAGTAATGTCGTACCGAGTTCTTTGCGTCTACTCTTAAAAGACTTAGCAATGTCCGCTTCCGAGGGTTGTCCGTTCCGAGGGATTGTTCTTATTATTACGAGGGCTATTATTGTTCGTAGTTTCGCTAGCCCTAATTAGTTAGGTTTAGTAGCCTTTAATTGTTAATCTTATCTTATCTTTTTAAAAATACAGCTCGTCTAGTTTCTATAGGTAAAGGCTATTATAAGTGTAGTAGTAGAGGTTCCCCTCGCTTAAAGGGTTAGATAGATCGAGGAGTAACCTATTGTCCGCAAGATCGACCCTAGCTAGCTTAGCTCTATAGTTTTGCTCTTAGTTAGTCTATTAGTCGCTTAATCTTTTAGGCGGCTTAAAGTTTTGATTAAAGTTTTAATTAAAGGTGCCTTAGGCTTATAGTATAGGTAAGGTTGTGTCCGTAGGCGCAGTAACAATAGCAAGTAATATTAACAATAGCGGCGCTAGTCGTCTTAGCGCTAACTTTACCTTGCTTTTCGATTTCCTTCTTCGACTAATAATATACTCTATAATACTATTACTAATATAGCCGCGTTAGCCGCCGGCGCACTACTAGTACGCGACACTATTACCTTTGTTACCGTTATTCGCACGCGCGCGTATATCGCCCTTGTCGAACGCTTAGGTCTCGAGGCCTCGATAGAATAAAGAATAAGAGGGGGACCTATAGGGTGCATTAGGGAAGAGGTAGAATCCTTAAAAGAGCAGGCGATTAG